ATAATATATATTATATATTTACATTTTAACTAGACAGACAGACAGTGCAACACCTCTTGTCACGATTATTTCCGTGTGTCACATCTAGTTGGTAGAGTAAAGTAGGTAAAAGGGTCTTGAGTCTAGACAATAGAAAGTAAGTACATCAGGCGAATTTAGTAGATCATCATTTAAATATCTTTAAAAATATCTTCTATTCTGACGATTTTCGGTTTATCGAAGCTTTCTTGGATTATCTAGCTTTCAATATTAGTCAATCGTGTTTTGAGCCATCCACATTCCACAGTGAACTCACTAGTTGGTCATTCAATAAAAATTCAGTCAAAACAGTGAAATTTGGGTCGAGGAAAGCTGATATCTGGGAATTTCCTACCGGTAGGACATTTTCAAGTGTTAGCTACAGGTGTGTTACATTCACAGTGAGGACCTATTTTAGATTTCCAAAACTACGATACGTCACATTTCCAACCAGTACTACAAAGTAGATCTAGAACATCAGTACCACATCTAGTTTTGTGTTACCTTACTCGGGATTATTACGACGGGTTTATTAACGACCGGTTAAAATATGGTTCGGGAAAAATATGGCGAAATTGCTCAAAACCCACCACATTTTCCCGGTCACCATTTTACCGGTGTCCAACCTTTCAATTTTTGATTCAAAAATTTTGTCTCAGATGTAAATTTCCTTATTAGAGATAAGAAAGTTTAGAAATTTTCGCATTGCTAAAACTTGTGAAACAAGTCGTACTATCAATATTATGATAATTCTAGCAAATTCGTTGTTTTGAATTAGCATTAAATGTTTACGTGTATCAAATAACCATTATGACTCAATTTGTAGAAAATCTTCGAAAGAATGCATCGTTCACATTGTTTAGAATTATGAATAAATGACTGATGAAACTGATTCATGTTATTGACAGTTTTAATTAATTCAAGTTTTAATTTAACTGTTACTTTTACTTTGAGTCCTATTTCATTATGTAGAGATAGTCAATACCTAAGAAATTAAAAATTGGCCTATTTAAATCAACTTTGACAATAATATATGACAAGAATTTGGCAAAAAGGTGAATTTTTTGCAATTTTAGCCAAATGAAGTCGAAAAACCTACAACAGGTGTCCCAATAGTCATCTTAAGTGAATATTAGACAACGATTAAAATATGAGCACCCATACCCCTTGGGAACCCTAAAAGCTGAGTAGGCGGGTTTATTAACGACCGGTGAAAATGTGGTTCGGGAAAAATATGGCGAAATTACCCTAAACCCGCCACTTTATCCCGGTCATAATAATCCCGAGTAAGGTATCTTAACTCCACTGATTCATCATTGAAATCAATAAATGGTGGGTAATATTGTGGCGGGTAAAAATAATGGCGAGTATAAATATGGCGGATTTTCCGAAAACACGCCAAATTTAACCCGCCGCTTATTTACCTGCAACATTATTTTCACACAAAAATTTGAAAATCCACGAATTTCTACCTGCCATATTGTAATATTATACCCAATTTTCTTTCCAGACTGCGTGTTTGTTTGCAATTTCAAAGTATAATAACATTTAAAATTAAACGTTTTGCAGTATAACATCTCTGTTGATATGAAAAGGTAGTAAGTATGAATAGGTAATAAGTATCATAGCACGGTATCAATCAGTTTAACAGTACTTGTGCGTCCATTACAACCAAAGTATTCGATTTTTCGAATAAAACCACCTCGTTGAGGTCGGAAAACCTAGTGAGTGCATGACACTTGTTTCAATGTAAAAAAGGAAAGATTATTATGCCAGAACTACAAAAGTTGACTCGGCGGGTTGCATTATGGCGGGTAAAAATAATGACGGGTACAAATATGGCGGAATTTCCGAAAAACCGCCAAATTTAACCCGCCATAATTAAACGAACTAAGGTAAGCACTTTTGTCAGAAAACGACAGATTGAGTCATGATAATGTAAATGTAACTGATTACAAGATAAAGCTGATATCTCAAGCTGTTTAAGTTGTCGACTTCACAGAATGTATACAAAGAATGCGGTGAGAAAGCTTTCTTTATCTTGTTGTGTTCCTACTTATCAATTCGGGGACCGGACACTACGGCAAAATACGTAAGGCGGAACTAATTTAGAAAAAGATCTGGATAGTACGGCGGAATCGCATGTTACTCAGATCACTATTTTTGTACATTGAATCGAATGTCCACTGCCGTGGTGTCCTATACCCATCAATTCAAATATATGATTCTCATAGGCCTAGGATAGATAAGAATAAAACATTGCTCCTTGATTCACGAATCTTGTATCTTTGTATCTCACGATTAGGTTACAACAAAGAATTAATCCCACATTTACAGTTCTGTTAATTCTTGTTTATCGAGTACATACTAAAACTATCTTGTTGTCAGATAAAATCAGCCCCTGGACAACATTCAACAAGTGTTTGTCATCATTGCTCTGATCGGTCGATTGATATCAAGTGTGCACCGCTTCCGAGAAAAACAAGCTACCCAGATCACTCCAGAAGTGGCTTATTTCATCTGATAGCACTATATAACTGTTAAAGTTAACCAGTAAATATCACCGCAGGCGAAGATAATACTGATCGTAATACTTACAATCACGACCGTTCATTTCATCAACACAGCTAGAAACGTTGGTTTTACAACTACAATTGCAACCTTCGCAGCAGACAACAGCGATCAGAGAGATCTGACAAACCTACTCAGAAGAGAATCACCCGATGTTTTTAACCACCTCCCAGCTCAGTTCCTGAGCGAATACAAAAGCTTCTGCTGGAGAGAAGAAGAAGACTCTAAACTTCTCTGTTTGCCTAGTGTGTATTTAGCTGGAATGCCAAAATGCGGTTCCACGGACTTGTACCGAAAATTGGTATGGCATCCAGACTTGGTGCAACCAACCGCTGGTAAAGAAAACCACTACTGGGCAAGAAAAAGGCTAGGAAAACCATCAAACCACCTTTCAAAGGGAACCACAGACCCCACACAGTTCTCAGCTTTTTTAAATAAGCTGGGTCCTGAAAAATGGAAGGAAACACCAACCTGATGTTACTAGATGGTACACAGTCCATGCTGTGGGACTTGAGGGGATGGGAGACCCGATATTCAGGGCAAAACCAGCCGCCTTACACTAACGCGGACCTGCTTAATGAGCTGACTCCAGAAGCAAAGATTCTGGTCATCACTCGGGACCCCGTTCAGAGATTATACTCTGACTATTTATACTTTAATATTGGGAATGATCCAAATGTAACAGCATACGGATTTGAAGCGGCTGTTACCAAGGAGATGAACAGGTTTCATAAGTGTTTGGAGACACAAGATCTTAAGACTTGTTGTTATGATTCACAGAACGACCCCAAATTAAGACTTAATCTTGGTATCTACATCTGTTTTATAAGAGACTGGAAAAAGTCTTCGGAGGTAACATCTTGGTGGTTTCGTTAGAGGATTACAGTTTATATCCCTTCCCAACAATCTCCAAGATATTTTCTTTTCTGGGAGTTTCCCAACCCACGAGTCAACAACTCGAAGAATTTTTGCAAAATTCAATTAAGGAGAACAGCCGACGAAAAAGCGCAGTTAAGGAAGGTGACATGCTTCCGCAAACAAAGAAGGCCTTGCAGGACTTTTATGGACCTTATAATAGTGACCTTTCTCGATATCTTGAAGATACCAGGTTCTTGTACAACTACCAATGACATTTATTGCCTTAATTCTACACTTTGACAGAGTCTCCCTTACTCTTAGCTAAAATACCTCCATATTATAGAGAATGGCAGACCATGTACTGTGACAGTATAACTTTTGTTTCAACTACCTTACTCGGGATTATTACGACGGGTTTATTAACGACCGGTTAAAATATGGTTCGGGAAAAATATGGCGAAATTGCTCAAAACCCACCACATTTTCCCGGTCGCCATTTTACCGGTGTCCAACCTTTCAATTTTAGATTCAAAAATTTGATAAGCAAGTTTAGAAATTTTCGCATTGCTAAAACTTGTGAAACAAGTCGAATTATCAATAATTGTTGAAAGTAGACAGAAATAATGACTCGAGGTTAATCAAACTAGATGGAAAATAATTTTTAACATTTGAAGCGTAACAACCAGATCGATATTAAGATAAAGGGAGAGCTGTTTAGTCTTCCAATAAGTTGTAATCATCTTCGTTATCTTCATCTGGATCATCCCTTTCATCAGTTTTAATTAATTCAAGTTTTAATTTAACTGTTACTTTTACTTTGAGTCCTATTTCATTATGTAGAGATAGTCAATACCTAAGAAATTAAAAATTGGCCTATTTAAATCAAATTTGACAATAAGGATATATGACAAGAATTGGGCAAAAAGGTGAATTTTTTGCAATTTTAGCCAAATGAAGTCGAAAAACGTACAACAAGTGTCCCAATGGCAATAGTCTTCTTAAGTGAATATAAGACAACGATTAAAATATGAGCACCCATACCCCTTGGGAACCCTAAAAGCTGAGTAGGCGGGTTTATTAACGACCGGTGAAAATGTGGTTCGGGAAAAATATGGCGAAATTACCCTAAACCCACCACTTTATCCCGGTCATAATAATCCCGAGTAAGGTATGCAACATCAGTTTCAAGCTTGAATCTGTTCGTTATTCGGTACCTTTTTTATGTATAATTTTATGTATATCGACTAATCAACTGAAAATCGCATCAAATCCATGATTTGTACATAACGGCTTTGGTGGTAGATTAAAATACATTTTTAGAATTTAACACTTTTGCTTCGTCTTTTAAACACAGTTACAGTTTATCAGCGTAAAGTTTTCGTTTGATTTATAAAACGATGTTGTTTAAACGCTTGACAGTTATTGGATGATATGCTGGCAGCAGCTAGGCCATTCAAATCCACGAGTCGCTGCTTAGAGTCAAAACAATTCTACGTCACCATTTCCCAAGTACATAATTTAAAAACTAATGCTCTCATTTCCTCTACAGAAGTTTCCCATGAGCAATGTCACCAAGCTTCTTCTGTTCATCTCAGTTACAGCAACACTGATACTGTTTATTTATGTACCTATTATCAAAGAGGACTTGTCAGCTATAAGGGGTTACTTGCCAACTATGATGCCAGTACAAGGTAGAGGGGCTGGCGAGAATGATACGAGATGGAATGTTGAGAATGATACGAGTGGAGTGGAGAGAGAACACTTTCTTTTCATTGTTATGATACTTAGTCACAGGTATGTTTCTCAGATTTACACTTTACTTTCGAAAAACAAAACCGTCATAGTTTCATTTCAAAGAACAATGCTGCTTCCAAATTTAACAGAACTCCAACTATCCATGCTAATTATTATAAGTAACTATTAAAGAAAAAATGTAACTAAAACAGTATCCGGTGTCCCAGGGCCTCAGACAGAATCCAATCAAGATCCGCCTGGAACAACCCCACATTCTGGGCCACTAAAAACGTCACAACAAAGATCCTCTACGTGGTTGGAAGTGACCAGGTAGACAGCACAGAACAAGATATTATCATAGCAGATATGGTGGAGAGCAGGTGTGCTCTCAAACATAAGGTTCAGGCTGGGTTAAGGTATATAAAGGAGCGGTATAGTTGTGATTATATCCTCAAGACTGATGTTGATGTTTTTAATGATTATAAAGCCTGGACTGAGGCTATCTTGAGGTATAATGACAAGCAGATTAACGCTGGTCATTCACAAAACGGAGCTAAGAATAATGTTGATTCTCACAGTAAATCAGAACAATCAGCAGAAGAGCTCCACTCCTCTTCCTCCTCCCCACCAGCACTGCTATACGGGGGAGGCGGATGTCGGAGGCACCTGGACGTACCTTACCCATTCTGCTCAGGAATGGGCTACATACTCCACTCATCTCTACTAGACCACGTGATATCATACCCTCTGAGTAAGATGGAGGGGGCGGAGGATAGAACAGTAGGGAAGTGTATGAGTGAAGTAGGGGTGAAACCTGTGGGTATACTAACAGGGAGTGTGAGGGGGTTGAAGGGGGAGGAGTGTGAGGGGCTGGGTGGGTTGATGAAGGAGCACGGGACACTGCATACTGGCAGGGACAGTGGCAAGATGTTGGAGTGTTGGAATGCGGCTGATTTGAGTGCCATTTAGGTTGTTTTAGGTGTTAAACGTTATGTAATTGTGTGGTTTCGTAAGAAACTTTTTAAAGTTTTAACCGTTGATTATTATAAATATTAATATGGATGTGTAAATTTCAAACCACTGTCATTTCTGACAAAATATCATTATAATTTGACCTGACACGGAATGTTATTACATTGCAGTTAGCAATCGTTTTCATTTTCCTTCTCACAACTGTGAGAGTTTCCAGAGTACAAAACACAGATGGTATGATAAATGATAATAGTAAAGTATACACTATACTATATTAGTACACTATACACTATAAGCTTTACAATAGATACACTATATAAGTTACATTAATAATGAATAAATCACAATGAAACATACATAATATATTCTTGTCCAATAAACAATAAGATTATAAGAATAATACATTTCACTGTGAATAATAAATGTCACTGTGATTTCCCAACTAGTAATATAGGTAGTTATTTATGTAGACTATTTTGGTCAAACCATTCATTGTGTGTGACTGTTATAAGTGTCTCTAGTAAGTAATTATAATATATTGATATGTAATATTATATACGTTAATATAATCATAACTATACTTTCTATTTCTTGAACAATACCCGGAAATGAGAATCAGATACTACTTCACCAGTGATGGATCTGGGCACACAATGGTTCCAGTAACTATAGTAACTAGAGTAACTATAGTAACAATGGGAGTTCTCTTATTTCATAGGATATCATCTAGATACTGGTGGCGGAAGTGAACCACAGTCCACATTTGTTTAAACACGTGACATTGATTCTGGCTTTTGATTTTTCAGTACCCGTGTCACGTGTCAGAAAATACTTCGCTCATCTCCCAAATAGTATCCAAATCTAATATCTATATGTTGAATTATTCAATAACCACTATGTAGACAATCACACTCCGTATTTTGCATCTGCGTGTAACATTCACACTACAAGTGCTCCTTTCTCAAGATTCAGAACACAGCTTACACACTGCACTGGTAATGAGCTGTGTTCTGATTGGTCCGTTAAAATCACGTTACAGTGATACTGTGTTCTGATTGGTCAGCAGCCGCATCATGGAAAACTTATGACATTGGATAGCATCTTTAGAATATAATCTAACAATTCTTGGACTGTAACTAACTTCAATAGTTAAAGAAGGATTTACATGTCTGTATTTCTGTAAAACACGAGTCCAGACAATATATGCACTTCACACTACTTTTTATTATATATCAATTAACTACTTTATTTACTTCCGGTGAGACTTATCATATAGGTAAAGTAAATTAGATTAAGTAAAGTAGTTTACAATAGTTATTGCACCAAACACTTCCCATTACACAGTGCTACAAGCACTTGAAACATTCAAAGCTCTGACACAATCACCATGTATAACAGCTGGGGGAATGTGACATTCCATAATTGTACCCTATGTGTAAGGGTACAAGGAGTGTAGAGAATGTTGTAGAGTGCTTGTAAGAGTACACTATATACACTATACAGGGAAGTACACGGGATAAGTACAATGTACAAAGTAGAGTACAAGCAATTACTTGCAAAGTACAAGTTGCCGCGTTGCTATGGTTACAGAGGTAAAGTTTACACAGAATCCAGTGATATACAACTCAACAGTCTACAGTAAGATTGTATACACATGTACAGTTAGTTCTGTGATAATATGTAGCCCTAACTTTACTCTGTATACATTCCAGACTAACTCTCAAATTTGTGATTGAGTACTAGCGAAAAATTCACATATTTGGTGAATCAGGCATGGCAGGAATGTGACCACTAAGAAATCTTGCAAGGTGAGGTAGGGTGATCGTGAGGTTAGATAAAATAATTCTCCGGCGGTAATAGGTCTCCGAGCTTTTTAATGACCCTGCCATTTCCGGTAGAGGACAACATTAGCGTATACTGTGGTTACTGGGCAGCTTGTGTACGTGTAGTGTACACTAATTACTTAATTATTTAATTAGTGTTTAATTATGAGTGGCATCAACGCAATCCACCTGCTTGATTCGTGTGAAAAGGAGAGGAACGGTCAACGGAGTAGAAATGTGATCTGTGTAAATTAATACGTCTATTTCCTCATATTACTCAACCATGACTATAATTAATTCTTAACTTGCATTTTGTTATCCTGTCATAGATATCGGTAGAATTAAACAATAAATCTTGAAATTCAGTGGATATTAAGATAATAACTTTACCAATACTAATTAATTAATTATCGAACTAGTATCTAATTACCCTGATGTTTTTACTGTTGATCTGCTGAAGACACCCATGTCTGATAACATTCACAAGACGATGATTAACCTCGTTATCTGCCTTGTGTCTATTGTAGTCTTCAAACCCCTGAGATACAGATTATATTTAACTGGGCGAAGGTGTGGAAGGTATTTTTAATATGCTGCCTTCTTGAAAATAAAATGCTGAGGTATTTAATAAGATAGGGATCTAAAATTCTTCTAAAGTTATAATGACTTTTAGGTAGTGTCTATTGACTGTCTACATCCCTCATCACTCCACGCTGGGAGAATTAAGTTCAGTAAGTCCTACTACATTTTCTATATTTCCTTATAATAAAGTTTCTGGGAGCAATAACTTCACCGCTTTGATCAACATTTTTATATACTGGCTCTTAAGTCTTTTTTTTGCGTATAAATATGTATATAATATATGCAATATGCATCTGCAATTTGCATTCTGTAGAACAAAATACAATTCATTTTATAGAAGCAAAAGAATTGCAAACTTCTTGTGAGAAAGCGATTAACACTTCACAGTGGTCAGAAAATGCTGACTTTATAAAGCTTAATTGATCTGATGTACTCATGAATGGCATTTTCTGAGAACCCAAATCTTTCGAGGTTGTGCAATAGCTTGTCTTGTGATATGCATAAAATCACTTCGACTTTTCAGATTGCAGTAATAAAATCTGTTTGTTGACTGCTCAAAAGTGAATGGTAATTACTTATGTGGGCTACTGCAGGGGTAACCTGTTTAGAAATACTGAACGAAACCACCAAAATAAGAGGGACAAGTGTTGTACCATAACTTATAGGAGAATCAATACAAATCTGAAATGGGTTATTTACTAGAAAAATAATTTGACATTATTGTATGATGCTACCTTGATTCACTGGTACATTACTCTATCAAAGAGATACATACAAGAAATAATCTAAATCCTTAACGCTTTCTCAGTGAATCAAGGCAGTACCAAACAACAGGAACGAATAAGTAAACCTGCTTAAAAAGGGATATCGTTACGACAATGATAAGTGGCATCATTGTCGTACCAGGTCCTATTGGAGTCTCTATACATAACTGAAATAGTTGTCCATTAAAAATTGGTTTGTTTGTTACAATGAATTTGACACGTGCTATCAAACAAGGGATTATGTATTTTATAATTTTATTTATGTACTGGCTGATATGCAAGTAGATGCGATTCCAAGGCTTCAATGAAACCAAGCCTTATCCTACAGTAGAATATTTAAAATGTAAGCAGAAATTTGCAGTGCTTACCATGATGATAACAACACAGAGGAAGTAGAAGTTGGCAATCCTTTTGAACTGTTCATAGAGATTCTTTGGAATAAAATTCCAGATTGTGTACTGAAGTGATGTTTGTTGCATTAATATCTACTCATAAACGGAACTCAGCTTGTCTTGACAACAATGTAAAAGCTTTATATGAACTGTAGCCCAAAGAGAAAAGATATTGAACAGTAACTTTTAAATTACTCACTTTGCTTGTCTTAATTGCATTGTCAGCAAAAGCTTGAGGCTTTACACCATCAGGATATCGGTTGAAGACATAAACCTGAAAAATGGTGAATGAACACACATGAAAACAACAATTCTTAAAATCATGAACAATAGACTTTATATTTAACTTTTAAAAAACCTAAAAAGTAACTTTTACCTGTCTGATTGAATTGGCTTCTTCCTCTTGTCGGAAGATACCACCTAAGTTTCCAAACATCTCATTCCAAATTCTACCTTCCCATCCCTATAATCTTGAGTATTATTTTAAAGAAAATCTCTTTAAATTGTAAATTGATATATTTATAATTTAAAGAATTACACAATTACTGGTAAATCAAACAGGGTGTGAACTCTTTGATATTGTCAGAAAAGTAAAAACAATTATTATGAAATGTTGGCATGGGTTTACATGGAAAAAATAACATAGATATGAACACAAATCATAGCGAACAACAAAGCAGCTATAAATATGATGATCAGTCTTAGGAGCAACTAGCTGCAAAAATGATCACAAATTGAAAAGTAAAGTAAAAGTAAAAGTAAAAATTATGACATAACATCATCACTAATGTCTACAAAGTATCATCACACTAAATGGAAAAATAACTATTTCTCCATCAAATTTAAAGGTAATAATTTATCAAATATTAATCATGAATAAAAACAACATTAAAAAATTTAGTTTATTCATACTTCCCAGTGGAGTAAAGATTTATAAAACGTTTCTTTGCTACATAAGGATGAAACCATAGATAATCATTGTGTTTTTCTTTATTACTGATATAACTGGTACATTCAATTCTTGTTAAAACTTCTTTCGAAACATTCCAAAAATGAAAGTCATTTACAATACATTAAATAGAAATCATATTCTTTTTAAAACTTTCCAATCCAATTTTAAAACTCAAAACTGTCAAGCAGTTCTTCACCTCCGAAGGGAGTTTGTTCCAATAACGAACAACCCGCTCTGGAAGAAAAGAACACTGAAGATTCTTGACCTTTGTCACACTCTTACTAGTATCTATTGGATGAAACCAGATTAAGACCTGATCTGCTTGGTCTGAACAAGTCTGAACCATATAATAATCAGTCAAGCCATTAATAACCTTAAAAGCTTCAATAAGGTCCCCACGTATTCGCTGCTCTGCGGTCTGCCAGCGTTGTCAAATTAAGGATTTCCAGTCTACGGCTGTAAGTAAAAGTACCCACCTCATCAATCAGACGGGTAAACCGCCTCTGGACGCTCTCCAGCTCCAAAACAGTCTGCCAACTTCCATGAGCCGCAACTGGATTCCACAATTGGACACAATACTCTAGATGAGGTCTTATCAAAGCTTTATAGATGGCTATCATTACACATTTTTCTCTAATTATCAAATTCCTTACAACACAGCGAATCATACGATTTGCCTTGGAAATACATGCTTTTTTCTGTTGATTCCAAAGCAGGGAACTATGGGTAATAACCCCCAACGAATGTTAAAGATGCCAACTCAAATTCAGCTTCTAGGCAGTGGCATAACGTTGCATGTTGACGTCCCCTACCAAAAAAGTGCCACCCTTTCGAGGCCCCCTCCCCTTTTGGTGCTTTTCACTAAAATTGGAAATATTAAATGATTTTGGAGGATGCGCTGGTAAAATCTCTAAAATAAGTGTGTTTCTAGAGCAAAACGTGCAGTTTTGTTAGTACTTTGGTTAAGTTTTTCGAAATTGTCCCACATTCAAACGACTATTTGGCACCCCCTAAGATAGCGCCCCACCCGCACCAAATGGCCCCGCTGACCCCGCTGTGCGGGAGGGCGCAGTCTTAGGGGCGCGCCAAACCGTTGTTTGAATGTGGGACAATTTTGAAAAACTTAACTACGGTATTAGCAAAACTGCGCATTTTGATCTAGAAACACACTTTTTTAGAGATTTACCAGCGTATCCTCTAAAATCATATAATTTGTTCAATTTTAGGGAGGGGTGCCAAAAGGGGAGGGGGTGCCAACAGGAGGGAGGGGGCCAACAGGCAACGTTACGCCACTGACCCGCACAGCAAGGTCAGCGGGCCCTTCGTTATGCCACTGCTTCTGGGTTTACTGACACCTTATAGATCTGTAAAGCTGTAAGAGCAAAGTTCAATTGCTCATGCAAACGCACAAAAAATAACACTTAAAATCACAAGCATATTGTTTTGAAATAATTAGACAGGGGACCTATTCAAAATAACAGCAAGAATATAATTTTTTAAAATGTAAAATTATTCAAACAATATACACATAATATAGCAATGACCCAGATATAAAATCTACCCTTTAAGAATTAAAAAAGTTTCCTAAACAATCAAAAATTACCCTTGGCCTTGTGGCTCCAAGTTAAGATCTAGACAGCAGCAAGAATATTGCCTCTGGAAAAAAATGCCTCGAAGATGGAAATTACTGGTAACACGGTATTATTAACTTTATGAAAAGGCAGATGATCGAAGAAATGCTCTGGAGAAAAGAAACACAAATGCAGTATTTCAGAAGTTTGAAGCAGCAAAATCGCAGTCGTTGTGTATGGTAGAACAGGCAGAGAACATCTGGAGAGAATACTGAAAACTGGCCACGGGCCTAAATATTACATATCAATCAATTACAATTCATTAATATTACCAATATTAAAAACTATCGAAAATATTCAAGAAAGTATTCTCTAGCCAAAGGGCTCAATATTTAAATCTAAATCTTCAATATTGTCTGGTTTATATCGCGACTTGGGCCCTCTGTCCCCCCTTATCGAAATAACCGTTGTCTTTAATACATCTGGAGAGAATTCAACAGATTTACTAAAATTTTGTTTTACTAAAGATTGTTTGATTCACAGGCAAACACTTAAGTAAAGTTAGTATAATACACTTATTTACAATACACTACAATACAGAGATGAGATTACCAAGACAGTGTAACAAAAGCTGCTTGAACATTGAAATATTTTACAGAAACAAGGAAACTATAATAAGTTTGATCAAAATTTCTATAAAAATTAAAATATGACGGATCACAAACAAACAATCATCAATCATTACTTTGATCATTTCACTAGAGGGGAAATTCATCATCACCATTAACATAAAACACTAAACTATAATTTTTGTGTTTTAGCATGATCTTATAAGTACATTTCGGCCCATTTTCTAATATGTTTGTTCGATAGTCTGTAGTCAATTTGTTTATATTTGCTATTTTTGTAAATGTTTCTTCTTAATCAAATTGTAATGAACATGTATTCACTAGTTTATTGCAAGTGCATCGCAAAACTTTCATTACTAAATGGCGCCAAAATATAAACTTGCGCTTTACCATTTTTTTCGAAAACAAAAATTTGAGCTTTAATTATTTCAATTCATTGTTAATTGTGAGTGGATTAAGATTAAGAAGCGGCACTCAGCTTGTCATTCCGCTGTGCAGCTTATGAATATTATTACTTTGTTATGTAGTCTTTATATTTAGGGAATTTAAAGTGGACTGATCCGGCCCGACGCGCGCTACTCATTCGTTAACCAATTTAAGCAAAGTGAACATTTTAAAAATATTTTAATTAAAAATTAGTGAATTATATTTCCCAAGAAACCTTACTGGCAGGGACCTAACGTTCAAAATATAAGAAATAAATACTTCCGCGGTTTTTAGCAAAATGATCGCCTTGTAAAAATAAAGTTTCTTCGCCAGGAGGAAAATTATTAATTAGGGACTTTTTAAATTTTGAGTTATGGCGAAAATTAAAAGTATAATTTTGGGCCAAATAAAAGGTTGCAGCTTTATAACTTTGCAAATTAATGTGGTTGTGATCATCGATCATGACTCCATGATGCATGGACGAATTCAGCTCCAGATTGTAACGACGCGTGCACAGTGCAGAGCAGCGAGCAGGCTATTAAAAAATTATCACTCCTAGTAACACTGCCAGCCAGTAAGGTTTTCCGGGTTTATTTGAACAACATTGCATCAAATTATTTTCGAGGTTAAATATATCTATAAAAATAATACTATTTTGTATTTATATTTTTAATAAATTTAAATTGATTACTCGGCGCGCGTCTTGATAAGTTATAAACTTACAAAACTGGGCGCGCAGCATATTCTCCTCAAAAATGTTTTGATACGAACAAAATAAAAATGGTGCATCACGTATTTAGTATTAAATAATTAACAATTTTCAACCATTAAAATGTTTATTTTCATGGTAAGAATTGTTGCTTTTATTGTATAACAACTTGCTTTCATCAGTTTTCAGTTTTTGCTTTTTTGTTTAAGTAGACATTTATGTTTTGATCAATTTTCAAAACAAACAAAAAATTGTTTGCAGTATACAAAATTTGCCAAAGACCACAAAAAAGCGACAATAAACACAACCTTGCTACGGTACGTTGTATACCTCTCGGCCGCGTGATCAAAAGGGGTTACAGTGTGTGTCAAACAAAACCTTACTGGCTTGGGAAAATTTAAATTTTTCACTGCAAATGCCAAATATTTAGTTAAAAATAAAATGAAAAACATATAAACTGTTGTAATGCTCAACTTAAATTTAATTTTTGATGATCTCATTGCTAGGAGTACGACTTCATTTGACATTCTGAGTGAATTTGTATAGTCAGTCATGCAATATTTTGATTGGAAGTCTTTCCTTGTAATTGTTCTAATTGACCTGTACTGGCCAGGGCGTACGCGGCAGCCTTTATTTGTAACTCCTAGCACAAGGCCTTATACAGTGTAAACTTACAGAAGGCTTTCTGGGCCGAGCTTATCAGGTTTAAAAAAATGCAGTAAGGAGCTGCAATTTAGGGGACCATCAGATGCCTTCGATTTCGTAGCTATAATGTAGTAGAGTGGATACTACAACCAACAAAAATCTATTAAGAATTAAGATAGTATGGTTCTGAAACTTTTTTCCAGGGGATCTTCTATCCATTTTATGGGGTAACTTTTAGGGATTAGGTAATTTTAATTTGATTAGGTAATGTTGTCAGCTGCTGAATGGTCTTCATCTCATTAAACTCCAGCGGGTCCCTTAATCTTGTTGGTATACTTGTAATTTGTTTGCTTTGTGTCTTCTACAATCTTACCAAATTATCGAGCAGTTTTTGTTCTATACTAAAACCCTCAATATATGAATTGGCTATTATAGTTCTGCGTTTTGACCAAATTAGTTGTCAGTTTTTGTAGCGTCACTGAAGATGACCTACTGATACGAATATTATATGCTATTTATGCCCTAAAAATGTTTTCTCACCACTTGTTTTCAGAAGCCTATGTAGGTGTTGAGCTGTTGTATGTGCTGGTGGGCAAAAAACAATGTAGAGGATGACACTGATGCACATGAAGCGTTATTGGCTGCGGACAATACTGTCATTGAAAGCATGACGAAAGGGAAAAAATCTAGCAAAGAAAAGGCTAGCAAAGAAAAGGCTAGCAAGGAAAAACAATATGATGACATCTTAAACAAGTATAGGAAAAGCAGTGCCTCTCCACAAGAACCAACCAATGAAAATAACATACCAACATCAAGTGAACCCTCCCTCCAAGCCTCTGAGTCCTCTGTTCAAGGTGTTCCAGTTGCAAGGACATCATCAGACAGTAGTTTCGTAAAATCAAAAAAGAAATCCAGTTTAAAAGGTTCACAGAGCGCCCCTCCACGGCCTCCAGCCCCATTGTCACAACGAGTCACTTTTGAAGCAGAGTCAGACATCCAAAAGGTTCAGCAGGGACTATCAGAAAGGAAGGATTTACTTCAAGACGTGTCAGATAAAACGGAGGAATTGCAGCAGAATTCGCGTCACTTCAGATCTTTATCAAAGAGACTGAAGGACAAACAAGCTCAAAAATTGAAAAAATCTAAACTTCCTTGGTAGTGAGATTGTTATCTATTTAAATATAGTTTCATTACTGAAATGCATTATTGCATTATTCTTGATTTTTATTTCCTTCACTTTATTTTATTGATTTTTGATCATTTGTTTTCACAGGCATCGTCACTTATGCATTAATAATATCAATTGCTATGTTATACAATTTTTGAACTTTAAGCGTCATTTGTACCTTAATTTGTCATCCATGTTAGATTCTTATGCTGAAAACGATTAAGTCAGTCAAGTTTTGATTTAAAACGTTTTGCATGTTATATTCTAGGTTATAATGTTGAAGTTAAATTGATTATGAAAAATAAACATGAAAAATAAAAGTATCAGAAAATGTATTATAGTTATTGTACCAATCAGTACCAATAATGTTAAATATTGAATATTTTAAAACTGTTTTTGGTGATTTAATGATATTTTAGTCAACCATAAAAGATTAGGTAAATAATCACAACTAATTCTTAATTATTCTACTTGTTTCACTGTCTCTTTATCTTGATAGTCTTAGATTCTATCTTAGAATAATCTGACAGTAAATTTAGTTATAAGCTACTTTGGTTTGTGCTTGAAAAAGCATACCTACAGGGTGGTAAAAACACTCCAAGTGTCAACTGAACATCTTATTTCACAGCCCAATACAACTGTGTTGAATAATTACCCTTTTTCTTCAGAAAGACTTTATAATGAGCAATGGCAATGAAGACAGAGAAGTAATTTTGGCAAATTTTCAGGTGTGATAAACACAGTCATAGCTTTTTAAGCTATTTTGCATAGATTACTTTTCTTTGACTCTCTTTGTACTTTCTTAAATATTTTTTGTTGGTTGCAAATTATCCTGTCATGCTGTCTCAAGTTTGAATTATTTCTGTTCTCTGTCTTGTTAACTACTCATTAGTTTGTGGTTCTGACTTTAACAATTTTATTTATTTGCAGGCAATCACAGGTATCGACGACATAGCAATAGCACTCTCCACCCTTGAACAGTTCAACTGGGATATAAATGTGAGTTTTAAAAAAATATTTAAAAAAATAGTATTTATTGAACTATGTGAGTTGTGTAACAAAGCAATTAATTTGCAGGTCTGGTTTTGTACTACTCTAGGTTTACATTGGGTTCAATCAACCTGTATGTTTTACTGAATCTGAAGGCGGCTTTCTTCAGTATACTTTGGTTTGACACTTGCACTCATGGGCTGTTGGGATTTGCCTTTTTATCTTGGGGATCATTTAAAGCAAAGTTAAAATACTTCTAATTTGATTTTGACTTTTCTATGGATAACAATGTCTGGGCTTGTACTTCAGGGTTCTACAGTAATTTAATCTCTGTTGTGTTTCAGAATGCAATAGTTGCGACTGTATCTGAAGATCCTACACCTTCTCCTCAAGTGTAAAGCATTTTTCTTTCTTTAGAACTTTCTAGATGCTGGTGGGAGGTGGACCACGTGAAAATAATCGCTGTCACGTGACAAAGATAATAATAAAGTCCACCCTCCACCAGCATTCGGAACTTTAGAGTGTACAGGGTGTCCACTATAAGTTCTGGAACATTCGGTCAATTTACCTTTTTGCCTTATCTCTAATATCTATCTGATGCACTGTAACATATGGTATGATGGTCTCTAATTCATAATAATAATCTATTATATGTTGCAACATCATCCAAACAGCTGCCACATCATACAACTCTATAAAGTCTCTAAGATATCACTATCAAGTTAGTTACCTAATTAATTAGTAAACTAATTAATTAATTAACTTGTTAATTAGTTAACTATTTAACTAATGACCGTTAACAGGAGCTCATGTGAGGTTAACACAACATTCAAAGTGGATTGGAAGGGAAGGGAATACAGTTTCTCTCTAAATGTTAATGATGCTACAGTTGGTTAGTCAGAGTTATATCATTTTAATGTTTATTAGATACCATTAGATAAGCCAGTTCACTCTATAAACCTCCTTTAAATTAGCCGTTTAAGTATTTATGTTTATTTTAAATTGGCTTTTTGGCGGTGCTTTTTCTTGGACCTCGTTTTTTGACGATTTTTTCAGGTCCAAGATTTTTAAAATTGAATAAAAAAATTTCTAAGGCCTATCTCAAAATTCTGGCCCGACAATCTTTTTGAAATGGTCCTTAGAACATATCCTGAAAGTTTCAGGGTGATTGCTCAAAACATGTAGGAGAAGATAGATTTTTAGACTCGATTTGCAGGGCGCGCGATTGAAAATCGATCGCACAATACAATTACACATTTAAGCGCTGACCTTTGACCGGCAATAATTTCGGCTAGGAACAATATTTTTCCATTGGATTAAAAACAGCTGATAGATATCACTCCCCTCTATCAGAAACAACTATAAAGTCAATTTCGAGTGAATTTTGATGAAGACGCCCCCCCCGGCCCCCTTAAGACAGTTAGCTCATAATGTGCAAGTGGTTTTATTACTTAATTAAGAAGAGGTTAAAATGTTACCTTTATAGATCTGTTGCTTGTTTTATATAAAATTAAGTTTGGCATTCACGCAGGAACATTAAAGGAGAACCTGTCCTCACGAGTTGGGGTCCCCAAAGAAAACTTTACGATTATTGGCTTTCCCACAATGACGGTAAGTTGAAACATTTATATTGACACGTGATAGTGATTATGGGATTTGATTGGGCAGTATAATACTGGAAGCTGATTGGTTAATCGCTGTCAAGTGTTAGAAAAAATATCGTCCGCCTCCCCACCAGTATCCCGATCTATATTTAGAGAGACTCAGTTTTTGAGCTAATTTATCTGATATCTAATAAAATGATCTGTATTCACACACACATTAAATATCCTTCTTGTATCACGATACGAACATCCACATACTGGTAACATTTGTCAGCTGTATCTTGTTTAATGTTTAATCTACTCGTTTAACTACTCTGTTACATAATTATCTTATCTTTAACCAGATTATCTTATCTTTAACCAGATCAGCTGTTATTATGATTAGCCATACCTTTGAAACACGCATTTGTAAAATCGTTCCAGATTATTTTGTCAATGTTTACTACAAACACGGCACACGGTTCTACTAATGGATTATTCCGAGCTGGTGATATGGTATGTGATCTCAGATATATGGTACGTGGTCTTGTACGTGGTATCGGTCTTGAACGTGAATCGTACCAAGTTTCGTACCTGGTCTCGTAGCTAAAGGGTCATACTAAGTATTTGCTGAGTAGATGTCCAGTGATGTAACAAGGTAAGGTATATGGATTTACTATGCAGAAATGTTTGTACCCATTACCTTGGTTCGATGGAAAGCGAGTAGAAAGCTAGCAGAGGTGAGTAGAGGCGAGTATTATGGGTGGGGTCAGTGTTGTAACCTAGCCTTTATGAAGTCAGGTAGTTTCTATTGGGATGAAGTTAGGGGTTCTGCAGTGTTGTAACCTAGCCTTTATGAAGTCAGGTAGTTTCTATTGGGATGAAGTTAGGGGTTCTGCGGTAAGAGGGCAGCTGGCGATGGCTTATATTATATTATTTGGAAAAGTAGATTATTCTTAAGAAATTCGTGTGGTGTAGAAAGTAAGTATATGTGCTGTACATTATGTTTTCGGTAAATAGGTGCGCCTTAAATCTCACAAATTCAACGTAGTTGACCAAATTTTGGCTTTCATTAGAATTTCATGCGTCACAAAAATGCTCTTTTAAATGTTTATTACTCTGCTCTGTATATAATGTCCGCGGACAGTTTATAATTAAATTAATACAGTGTAAAACGAAAGTTGACGCTGGTTGATTCATTTTAATCTCAACGACCAACGTGACCTTATCTGATATCTTTAGATGTTCTTATCCATGACCAGCTGGTTGGTCAGCTGTCACGTTACCTCAGAAATACTTTCTTCAGAAATTCTTCTTCAAATAGATCCTTGAGCTATATTTAAATATAAAAGGTGTGTTAGATTATCTCACTGTTGCAAGCTTGCCAGATCACTGTTACATCTTTAATAAATAGTGATGACTATTACAGTTTGTAAATATATATATTGCTATATATTGCTACATATTACTATATATACATATTGCTATAATATAATATTCACAGAATAATGTTCTGTACCTGTGTCCCGTAATACCCTCAACACGGTGTTTCAAGACTCTTGTTTAATGTTTACGGTGGCGTCATCAATTAAAATGTAACATAATGCTCTACAGCGGCCTGTATAATATTGTAAAGTAAATTTAGTGGGTCGAGCCTGGCGGAGGGGGTTTGTTATGGTCGCCAGCCGCCAGGTCGCTTGCTGTTTATTAGAGAAATTGTCTGATTCGTGGAAAAGAAAGAAAGGAGTAGGTCCTCAATTCATTCTAGTTGCGAAGAATTTTCGATATATGTATATATATACAAGTTTTTGGTCAACTCTTCGAGACATAATATTAATAATATAATGAATAAATTCTAGTATTTATATCACACTTTGACATAAAAGAAATACCCACAGAAATACATATTCAAGCCATTCAAGCGTGAATTTTTGTATGGCAAAAATTAGATAGCAAAAATGGCGAGATGATGCATTTGAGTATAGTTTCACAGGTATACACTAGGTATACACTATACTAGGTATACACTACAATTTCCTGGTTCTTAGTGACTATGTATATATATTTATACAGGCAATGTTTACCACATCAATCAATACATACTAGCACTATGCTACACTGACGGGTCACTCACAGACTCAGGATGCGGGGCTGGCTATATCATCACAACTGACAACAATAACACCACCCTTGAAGAAAGATCATTCAAGCTCCCTGATTATTGCACTGTTTACCAAACAGAGCTCACCGCCATCATTGAAGCTTGCAAATATCTCTCTACCTATACCAACACACATATCATCATATGGTCTGACAGTCTCTCATCTATACAAGCTATCTCTGCGCTTTCAACGCGAAGTAGAACTACAAGAAACTGTTACGACTCTCTTAATGCACTCGGATCCAACAACACGCTAGAGATACGATGGATTGCAGCACACATCAGATTGTGGGGGAACGAAAAAGCAGATGAGCTGGCCAAGCTTGGTACAACCAGTGAATCCACTTTGAAGTGTCCAATTCCACAATCCTACATCAAGCGTCAAATCGACAACAAAGTCAACAGACTGAATCAGGAAACTTGGTTAACTGACGGTCCCAGAACACCAAACTGACACTCGGCCACAAGCATGCCAAAATCATCAAAAACCTCAACACTACACTCAGCAAAAACAGACAAGATTGCAGAACTGCAGTTCACCTCATCACGGGTCACTGCGGCTTAAACAAACACCTTCACACCATTTGCAAATCAAACACCAGTGCTTGTCCTATGTGCGGCGACGGAGAGGAAACTGTCTCACACTTCCTTGGACAGTGTCCAGCTATTGCCCAAATTAGAGGTCAATATTTCCAGGACTACTACCTCTCTGTCAATGACATATTCGACAACCAACACATCACCACAATTGTCGATTTCGCAAACCGCACCAAACGCTTAATTGTGCCGGAAGAGCTGGATCAGACCGGGGTGACTTAAAGTATTAGCTCATATGCTGTCTCGTCTCGTTTTACTTTTCCAAACCCAGCTGGCATTTAAGCGTATCATTTTGACTCATATATCATCTTACACCATCCTCCACCAATCACTCTGATTTCACCGGCAACCTTCTCCAAGGTTGCCACACCCCAGAGGTAGGCAGAGCATCTCAATGCTATCCTCTCGTGGGCTATCTTGGCCCAGCCTCTCTTAAAAAAAAAAAAAAAAAATACTAGCACTATACACTATACACTGTACGATACACACAATTTCAAATTTGCCAATCCTTCGCAATATCACTCTGTACATTTATCTTAATTTAAAATGTTGTTTTATTTTTTATTTAACACCATCATATTAAAGTCACTATTGTGACGGTACATTAGAACTAGACAGAAACAAAGTGTGAAGGGCCTGAACGGAACCCCTCGGTTTCAGTTCCTTGTTTAACACTGCCGTACAGCAAGGACATCCACCGGGTTCTCCAAGGATGGGCACATAGCTCACTCCACACTATGCTTTGTCAAATGTTGCTTATATACCTTACATAACTTGTATAACTTGTCCGGTTCCCCCACTATATTGCGACTATAACTCTGACCCTGACCTTAACCAATGAGAATACTGTCGCAATAAAGCGCTGTTACCACTTTGTCTAACACATTACCTTGTAGTTTTACCTATTAAGACACTAAATTTGGTAAGGAGGGTTGCCCTCGCCACGCGCCATTTGTCGGACAAATATATTTATTAACATTTTCTAATATATTATTTAAATCTATTATTTCCGGCCGTATTATATTTTAGTTTTAATACTTTCAACACTAATGTATAACAAATTATATTATAACAGAAGGTATATAATATGTATAATGTTGATATAGAGGGGTCTTAATCCCCCTCTATCCTCAAGATAGAGGGGTCTTAATCCCCCTCTATCCTCAAGATAGAGGGATCTTAATCCCCCTCTATCCTCAAGAGAGAGGGGTCTCAATCCCCCTCTATCCTCAAGATAGAGGGGTCTTAATCCCCCTCTATCCTCAAGATAGAGGGATCTTAATCCCCCTCTATCCTCAAGAGAGAGGGGTCTCAATCCCCCTCTATCCTCAAGATAGAGGGGTCTTAATCCCCCTCTATCCTCAAGATAGAGGGATCTTAATCCCCCTCTATCCTCAAGATAGAGGGGTCTCAATCCCCCTCTATCCTCAAGATAGAGGGGTCTTAATCCCCCTCTATCCTCAACTTTCACTTTCTCATAATATTCGTGATATCTCAGGTACAGACGGATCACAAGACACTTCAACAGATGGGAGTATCTCAGGACTGCAGGCTGATGATGGTGGAGACACCAAACCAGGTCCCCAACACACGAGGGTACGTTAACTGGCTGCTAGTTGATCGTTAATTGGCTGCTAATTGATCGTTAATTGGTTAATTATACGGGTTATTAGTTGTAATGTAATGAAGCATTTTTAATCTCTCAATTTGTTTAGTTAATTATAAAATGCCTTAGCTAGACAATTTTGATACATCAAAGATTTATTATTAAATACTATTAAATACTATATATTTATATAGGATATTAATCAATTATATTTAATCAATAAAAACTTACCGCTTAGAGAGTAACTACTTGACATCATGACGTATGAATTATGATGTATACTTATGACGTATACTTATGACGTATGATGTTTACTTATGACGTATACGTATGACGTATGGTGTATACTTATGATGTATACTTATGACGTATGATGTATACTTATGACGTATACTTATGGCGTATGATGTATACTTATGACGTATACTTATGACGTATGATGTATACTTATGTTCATGTCACCAATTAATTCAGTGGTTTGTATTCAGTCTGTTAGGAAATCAGACCAGCGTGACGTGTAATCTGTATTACCAACCAAACGTTTTGTTGCAAAGCCCTGATGATATAATCCTAAAATATATTTTAAAAGTGTCTGGGCTATATTCTATAGAAAGGGCTCACATAATCGTTAAGTTTATTTTAGGCTATCAACAGTAGGGCGTACTTTCCTTTTTGAACGTCATTACAAAGCTCACTGTTTGCACCATGGTGTACAGTATTTGTGCGTGCAGAATTCTGCAAAATCGGGGTTAAATCTGACATTGAGAAGGCAAAACCCGGCATCGTCACATACATTATGTAATAGTGATACGTTATTAAGATACAAAAAGTGGACGTACAAGGTTTACGAGGTTTACGAGGTTTACGAGGTTTACGAGGTTTACGAGGTTTACGAGGTATGTAATGCAGTATTGGCATACTTCGAATACGTTATTAATTTATTTGCGTTTTTCTGAAATCACGCACGTGTTTATAGCTGGGTCACGTACTAGTCACGTAATAGTTCACGTACTGTTAACACGTGTCAAATGGGTGATATTTATCAGTTCAGGAATTTGTGTTCATTTTGGTCAAGTTTGAGGTTTCACGAATGTTTAAAAAAATAAGTCGTACAAAAAATAACAGACAGAAAATACGTGATCTTGGGTGCCATTTTAAATATTCCAAGAAAATGTTAAGATTAGTGAACAATTATCACCAATCTTAATTAAGATCTTAATTTGAAATCCTAGACAAAAACTGCACAAAATTCTCAGAGATATTTCGTTTGGCTAATCAGACTCTAATAGATACGGACAACCAAATACTGTGATGAGTATGTTTTACGCTTTTTTCCAGTCCCGGTCAAAAAGGCTGTCCCGGTCGAGCCTTGAATGTAACTGTATCAAACAAATCAATTATTGAAATAAATATAAATAAATAATAATATTATATAGAATATCGACGCTAAAAATACCGAATAAAATCATAACAAAATCAGATTACTCCATAGAAATCCATTCCATCCAAGGGTGAAGGATAAGTTCTTTAGGGATCATCCTATCATCTTCATCAATGATCAGAACATCACGTAGAAACTCCTTGCTTTCATGATCAAGTCGAGAGTTGATAAACTCCAGATGCTGATGGTCTGCCACTTCCTGCTTGGTAGGAAAAGGACAGTCGCCGTTCAGTAGGACGTAGGCCAGACATCCAATACTCCAAGTCATGGCAGGAAGAGCTGAGTAGGATCCAAAGTTGAAGTGCTCTGGAGGGAGATAGACTTCTGTTCCTTGATAAGAGGTGTAGGGGGCTTCATCTTCAGGAATCCAGGACGCAGAACCGAAGTCGATCAGTTTTATCCGGCGAGTGACAGGATTGTAGAGGATGTTCTCGTCCTTGATGTCCCTGTGGTCGATTCCCAGGGAGATGAGGTAACTGCACGTGTCCAATAGCTGGGTTAGAACTTCTCGGGCATCCTCCACGGTCAAGGCTCCTTTCGTAGAGATATGGTCGAATAGGTCAACAAAGTCAGGTATGTACTCCATCACGATGATCCAGGAGTTCTGCTCGAAGTAGATTTCGTGAAGGTTGATCAGGTTGGGATGATCCAGGGTCTCCGAGAGAAGGATTTCGTCAGGTATCAGAGCTGATCTGTCATCACACCAGGTCTTCCTCTTGCATTTGGAATCATCGACTATCTTAGCAGCGTGGAGAGTTCCATCAGATATCCGCTTGACAAGCCACACAGCTCCATACCCGCCTTCTCCGAGCAGTCTGATTGATTTGTAGGAGTCTGTGAAAAGTAGAGGGTTTGTTGCAGTGGAGTTCATCGTTAGAGGAGAGAAATGTTCGATATAGGAGTAGGATGTGCAATGGTATTTATAGGTAACTTGTGGTTAAGAGGGTACGTTAGTTGATCGTTAAGTGATCGTTACTTGTTAATTGGTCGGGTAATTATATTTAAAGTAATGAAGGAATGAAGCATCTCATGTTGTTAAAACCATCAGTTTGCGTCTAATTGATGCCAGCTTAATAATTGAATCCGATTCTACTGCTGTTATCTTAATTTGTTCTCTTAATTTGATCACTTAATTTGGTCATTATATACCTTATATAAACTTGACGGTTTTGTTAAATCGAAAACTGCAACCATTAATAAACAAGGATGATAATGAAGAATTAATCTATTTGTTCTGATTGATAAAAACCGTACCAATAACATAATAACCACTTGTTACACTTGTTCATGTCGCCAATCAATTCAGTGACTGTAAAAAACTGTCATTATTTTGTGGTACTAGATAGTGATAAATGATGAGTCTGGATTCATGAGTAACGAAATATCAAATGTAATTGTATCAAACAAAGCAATCAGCGAAATATCCGCGCTAAAATACCAATAAAATCATATTAACAAAATCATATTACTCCATAGAAATCCAGTCCATCCAAGGGTGAAGGATAAGTTCTTCAGGGATCATCCTATCATCTTCATCAATGATCAGAACATCACGTAGAAACTCTTTGCTTTCATGATCAAGTCGAGGGTTGATAAACTCCAGATACCGATAGTCTGTTACTTCCTGCTTGGTAGAAAAAGGACAGTCGCCGTTCAGTAGGGCATAGGCCAGGCATCCAATACTCCAAGTCATGGCAGGAAGAGCTGAGTAGGATCCGAAGTTGAAGTGCTCTGGAGGGAGATAGACTTCTGTTCCTTGATAAGAGGTGTAGGGGGCTTCATTTCTGGTATCCAGGACGCAGAACCGAAGTCGATCAGTTTGATTTGACGAGTTGTAGGATTGTAGAGGATGTTCTCGTCCTTGATGTCCCTGTGGTCAATTCCCAGGGAGATGAGGTAACTGCACGTGTCCAATAGCTGGGTTAGAACTTCTCGGGCATCCTCAACGGTCAAGGCTCCTTTCGTAGAGATATGGTCGAATAGGTCAACAAAGTCCGGTATGTACTCCATCACGATGATCCAGGAGTTCTGCTCGAAGTAGATTTCGTGAAGGTTGATCAGGTTGGGATGATCCAGGGTCTCCGAGAGAAGGATCTCGTCAGGTATCAGAGCTGATCTGTCATCACACCAGGTCTTCCTCTTGCATTTGGAATCATCGACTATCTTAGCAGCGTGGAGAGTTCCATCAGATATCCGCTTGACAAGCCACACAGCTCCATATCCGCCTTCTCCGAGCAGTCTGATTGATTTGTAGGAGTCTGTGAAAAGTAGAGGGTTTGGTGCAGTGGAGTTCATCGTTAGAGAAGATATATAAGTAGTTCAAGTGGAAGTGGTGAAATGTTCGATAGAATGGAGTAAGGATATGTGGTGGTATTTATAGTTAACTTGACAGGGGCGAGCATGGTAAGAGTCAGTCATGCCCATTGGCCATTTCTCACATAAGATCAGATCTCGAACTATGTGACAAGATCCGATGATTGGATCATTGGATGTTCACATGCTGTAATTGGGGAATTGAGTTAGAGTGATTGGATTCGGCAAGGTGAGAGTCGTGCCTATTTCTCACATGAGATCAGATCTCGAACAATGTGATAAGATCCAATGATAGGATGGTCACCAGATCACGTGCTGTGATTGGGGAACTGATTGATTGAATGCCGCAAATGTTTACTCCGGCTTGGTCCTGATCAGATAACTACTATTTACTCCAATTGATGAGGAGTGGCGTGATCAGGTCACATTTTATCTCCACCCTGTACACTGTATAATGTAAATATATGATGTGACTCAGGTGATCATTGTGAGTAACTCAGTAACAGCCACACAATGTACTTAGTCAAGGAATTTAGTAATTAGTTCCTTATTTATGTCGACACTGTGACTTAGTTACTAGGTGTTGAACATGAAGCTCTATTAAATAGTGTATAGAACTAAAAGTAAAGTTGAGAAAATCATCGTTTCAGTGTCTGATTTGCTCTGTACTACAATGGCCCTGTCTAAGGCTAATCAAACATCCTCTTTTCTACGGCCAATAACTGCCCAGCCCCTCCTTCTAATCTGCAAACATTAACACCCCTTCTGCAGGCAAGGCAGCAGCAGTATTATGAGCAGCTCCAGATACCGATTCAAAATGAGCGTGGAGGGACTGGAATATGATCTCGTCTTTCCTGCCAATAATCACGTCCGACAGGTAAGTTTTTTGTTGAATATATGTATTTTTTGTTCAAGTATTTTTTCCGAATATAATCAGTGACTGCATGGAGATAGGAGGAATTTAATTTACCTAATTAATTAACCGATTAATTAATTAACTACTTATTCGTTAGGTGAAGTCGTATGTGGAAAGTACGTATAACATACCAGCGAGCCAACAAAGGTGGGAAGGCTGGCCCCCCGGTACATCCGACTCGGTAATTTCCAGAACTTTCTCTTTTCTATGATCTCTTTCTTTTAGTTTTAGATCGCACATTTTATATCAATAAGATAATACTTTGGTTGACGATTATGTTATTAGTTAATTTTTCAGCTCGAACTAAGAGACTTGGTGTTAGAAACACCGTTTCACAGACTGAAAGTCTTTCGCAGACAAGAGGTTTAGTTATATGCCGCGTCAACATTGTGTTCAATATTTGAAACATTTAGATGCAATTTATTTAATTCAACATTCTTTCAACATTGTTAACATTTAGTTCAACAAGATTTGTCCTATACCTGAAGTTTTAACATTGACATACTTGATATTTGAAAGCTAATTTAGTGAAATAAATTGTCAATGTCCCCCTTCCGGTAGACGACCTTCAAGATATTATCCCAGTCATAATACTTTTTAACCACCGCCTTTCTTTCAAGCCCACAGTCGAGTCCTAGCTTGTTGATAATATATAACATAGATAAACTTTCTATAATGCAAATGATCGTCCGAAACAATTAAAAGATTTAATGTAGTTCTTCTTTTAACCAAATGGACAAACAAAAGTTTAACATATTTAGATTTAACTTCCGATACAATTAAACACTATTTTCTCCTTGTAATGACCAAAGATAACTAATTAATTACTAATTACTTAAACCAATTAATTCTCAACCAGGCTGGCAGAGCATCTGTAGGATCAGACGACGAGTTCATGGACGAGGACGTGTTGGAATCACCAGGTAATTAGTAATTAGTTAATTAGTAATTATATATATATTATGTTCAGTTAATCAGGCAATTACAAGTAATTATATAAAATACAGTTCCACATATTTTATGGCCCCGTAGTTGATCATGTGACAATTCACCAAAATCTCCCTCTGGGCCCTGACTAATAAAGTGAGAGATTGAGTGAAAAATTAGAGTTGTAACTACATACTACATGACGTTAGTTAGTGTTGTAGTTAGTGTTGTTGTAGAGTTGTAGTTAGTGTTGTAGTTAGTGTAGTAGTTAGTGTTGTAGTAGTTAGTGTTGTAGTAGTTAGTGTAGTAGTTAGTGTTGTAGTTAGTGTTGTTGTAATTAGTGTTGTTCTAATTAGTGTTGTTCTAATTAGTGTTGTTCTAGTTAGTGTTGTTTTTTTTTGTTGCTCAGCTTTGTCAGGTCTAGTATTACTGGCCTTGTCAATCCAAACTTTCGTGACATTTTATATATTCATTATTCATACCACAGCGTGTTAGGTTCTCCTTGGTTGTTTAGAAGAATAACGAAATTTATAGCCCACAGTCGACATAAACAGTCACAAGTAGTTTTATGGCGTCATTGCTATTAATAGATTGGAACATCGGCCATGAAACCTGAAATAACCTTTACTGAGTACTAATTGCATCTTTTACTTGTTTAGATGTGTTAATAATAAAGTTTAATAAGTACTATGAAATGTTTGGATAATTTTGGGGTATGACATAATATTATGTAAAGTATACATAATATCACATATTAATATTATGTAAAGTATACATTACTGGGAGTTGGATTCTTAGCCACAGCCGTATTTCATGCCATGTTTAAGTAGCCAAAGAATCCAGGTCCAAGGAATCCAAGGTTGCAACTATGCAAGCATATATTTCATCTGGTGGGTAAGCATGGTCTATTCTCGTTCAGCTAATTGAATCAAGGCAGTAAGGTAGTACGTTTTCATGAAAAGTCGGGGTGAGATGTGCCGAGAGCGGGAATTGGACCCACGACCTCCCGAAAGTGGGTCCAATTCCCGCTCTCGGCACATCTCACCCCGACTTTTCATGAAAACGTACTACCTTACTGCCTTGATTCAATTAGCTGAACGAGAATAGACCATGCTGACCCACCAGATGAAGTAAAGTATACATATCACATAATGGTGGAGGTTTAAGTAGTGAACACAATGTTGCATAATATACCATAAACCCCCGATTTTCCGTACACACTGATAGATTAATTATTTATCGTGCTAAGTTCTTTCCTCTAACTGTACGGTAAATAGGGTATTACTGAACCTTGTTTTATTTTTCTGAACTATCATAATATTATAATATATAATATTTAAATGTTTTTTCTTTCGATTTACAAGAAAAATACATGAATTTTCAGAGATTGTTATGTGCGATCAAATGTGGACAAAAGACTCATGAATTTAAACCGCACGCAATACGTGAAAATATTAATGGGATCATTCTTGTTAATTTTTAACTTTAAGCTTAGAAGTTCTTATTATCCCTTCTTTCTAGGAAATTAATAAGAGTTTTTTAGATCTGTAATACCAAGCATGACTAATGAGTCATCATGTGATAGCTCCAACAATACGAGACACTGAGCCAGTAACAATCACATGCCTCATATTATAATATTATGACTCACATTATATACGCTAGTAGCCAGTAACTAGTAACTACAATGTGGTTACTAGAAGGAAAGATACATAAAAGAAGCTATTATACAAAAAAATATGGTCGATGAATGATTGATCCATATCACCTTGTAACACAGGTACCATCATTAATCCATCCGCTAACACAAATTATTTGCTACATATTTGCTACATATTTGCTACATATTTGTGTTGAAAGTATTAAAACTGTACTTTATGCAATGTTATGTTGATATAAATATGTAACATTTTCTGTCTCTAAATCACGAGTAATTTGTGTACAAGATTCAACGTGCATTATTATCATGTAATGTACAGTGAAATTAACATAGAGATATTATATTGTAAGTATATTATATACATATGATGATATATCATTAAATATAATATATAATATTATAAGTGTATTACATAATATAATATAGAATAGTATTATAGTTGCTACAATATTACAGGGGTCAGTGTAGTGTGTAGATTTATCGAACTCGTGTGAATTACCCTGAAATCTGAATCAATTCATGTGGCAAATGAAAAGTAGTTTATTGTGTTTTTTAGTCTAATTAGATACTATATTTATGCTTTTCATACAAAGTTATGTATCACATAATTCTCAATAAATGTAATAGATTTGTAGTATTGTAATTAGTTTAAAACTTATCATAGTACTTAGTAGTAGTATATGGGACAATTATAAAACAGTACAATAGTAATAATACTGACCATTAAATACACTATTTTATTTACTAATAACTCAATATACATGATACAATGATCACCTTATATTTCTCAATCACACCAAAGTGTACTTTTTGAGTATCATTCTGAGACAATAGTATCACATCGTACTGAAAATTCATAATGTTTCAGATTTCAGTGCTTACTTATCACAAACATTATTGCAAGCCCATACATGATGTCCCTCACCCTTGAATAATTTGGTGCTAGAAAGTATTTATACTAGAAAGTATTTATACTATACCTTTTAAGGCATGCGTTTATAAACGCATGCCTTAAAAGGTCATGGCATGTCACATGACATGTCACATGTAATTATTCAGGTCAGAACAGGGGACTCTATAAAACATTATCAAAACCTTCTGTTGTGTTCTGAAATCCCCTGGCTGATCACTCCACGCTTTTCCTTTAGACACTTAACTTTAAAATAGAATTAGCATCGTATGTCCACCCTAATGCCCACCCTTATGTCTACCCTTATGTCTACCCTAATGCCCACCCTTATGTCTACCCTAATGCCCACCCTAATGTCCACCCTAATGTCCACCCTAGCCTAATGCTTTAATGTCCACCCTAATGTCCACCCTAATGTTTACCTAATGTCTACCATTATGTCTACCCTAATGCCCACCCTTATGTCTACCCTAATGCCCACCCTAATATCCACCCTAATGTCCACCCTAATGTCCACCCCAGCCTAATGCTTTAATGTCCACCCTAATGTCCACCCTAATGTTTACCTTTATGTCTACCATTATGTCCACACTAATGTCCACACTAATGTCCACCCTAATGTCCACCCTAATGTCCACCCTAATGTCCACCCTAGCCTAATGCTTTAATGTCCACCCTAATGTCCACCCTAATGTTTACCTTTATGTCTACCATAATGTCCACACTAATGTCCACCCTAATGTCCACCCTAATGTCCACCCTAATGTCCACCCTAATGTCCACACTAATATCCACCCTAATGTCCACCCTAATGTCCACACTAATGTCCACCCTAATGTCTACCCTTATGTCCACTCTAATGTCTGGACCCTTATGTCCACCATAATGTCCACCCTTATGTCCACCCTAATGTCCACACTAATGTCCAGTGTCCACCCTAATGTCCACTCTTTTGTCCACCCTAATGTCCACCCTAATGTCCACACTAATGTCCACCCTAATGTCTACCCTTATATCCACTCTAATGTCCACTCTAATGTCCACCCTAATGTCTACCCTCAGTGGTCGGGCTGCTGAGACACCGCCCTGACCCCGGGCCCGTGCTTGTTCTAAGCTGATATAGCATGTTTAATGTGTTGTGTTGTGTGACTGTATCAGTAACACTGTTACTGGTTGAACAGGTGCGCTCTCTTTAACTATCTTAAATATATTATAACAGTATAGATCATTTTATATACATTATAATTATTAATTATATACGTTTTATCAACAGATTGTGAAGCGCTGCCTGACTGACCTGTTAATAGAGTTCGGCAGACTCTAACTTCTAACTTCTTGAACTTATCTTGTCCTCTTTTTCAGAATGTTCGAGTGGAGTCACATCTGCACAGCGTACTAACCCTGTCCTCTTTTTCAGAATGTTCGAGCACATCTGCACAGCGTACTAACCCTGTCCTCTTTTTCAGAATGTTCGAGCACATCTGCACAGCGTCCGCTTATGACGGTGGGCAAGAGCGCTGAGGAAAACGTCTTGCAATTTCTACAAGTCTTCGAGGAACGGTTAGTCTTAATTAATTAGGTCTTCTTTAATAAGTCTTATTTTTCGTTGTAGGTCGAAAATATTTATTAAGTTACTTTTTCTGCTAGAAATAGAACAGAGAAAATAAAAACGCTGTATTTTTAGAATTTCGATGCGAATTTTAAATATTATACACAGATTAACCTCAATTTACATTTCACTTACAGTAATATCACATGAACACATAAATTACCTCAAAACGTACATAACTGTGCTGATTAGAATTAGAAATGTGAACACACAACAAAAACCTGGAAAACTCTGCTGGGCCGTTAAAACAGTGTGAACCAGGTTTAGTTAAAGTGCACGGAATAAACAGCGTGACACGGTACAGCGGAAGATTTGTAAATGCATGAGGATTAGGTTGAGGGAAAATCCTCACCCTAATTCTTTGCGCCGACAAATCTCCCGCTGTAGTGTCTCATGCCGTAGAGTCCGGACCCGCTGAGCGCTAACAATGTCCAAATCTACAGCCACACGTAAAATGCCCTGTTGGGAATAGTCAAATCTCCAAATACAGAGCATTGTGCCGATCTCCCTTACTAGCACTTGCAACACATTGCGCCAAGTTCTTGCTAGCAATTACAGGACAATGCACCGAGTGCGCTTCCGCTAGCAGTTTGTCACACAACTCATCAGGACGTTCCATCTTGTGGAGGTTTTTTCAATGAGGTAGCCATCATAGCACTTTGCTAAGCAGCTGAGGGGGGTAAGTATTTTGATTATCATGGTCCATATTTGAGGATTCGAATAAATAATAAATTATGCTATGTAAATATGTCATCTTCACTATAGTTATGATTTTATTTTAGATGCTCCATTTTGGACTGGAGCTGGTGCTTTTTAATCGACCAGATAATTTCAAATAAACTGTCACTGTATCATAAACTAACAAATAAATAATGGATCATTCATTGGGAAATAGATAAATGAAGTGTCATTAACTAATAAATAAAGAATGTCTTACTCTGAATCTAAAGTAGCCCTCTTCTCGAGACCTCTATTGATTTCTGGGATGTTGATATCTGCAGTGTTGACCACGACGTTCAGTACACACACCAACAAAAGGACTATCCCGACATTGTTCATTCTCGTTGCGAGTTTTACTGTTACACTCCACACTCCTTAATGCTAATAAGATTGAGTGAAGATAATGAGGTTTTGAGGTTTATCAGGGTTAAAGTGAGGTTTTCGGGGGAAGACTATCTTATTTTTAGAAAACACAAAACAGCTAGAATCAAAATTTGAATCAACACTAAAAATCAGAAATATTAATTAAGTTACTTTTTTCTGCTAGAAATAGAAGCAATGAGAGAAAATAGAAACGCTTTATTTCTAGAATTTCAGTGCGAATTTAAAATATTTACAGATTAACCTCAATTTACATTTCACAGCAAATAGGTACAATTCCAATCGGCTAAAAGCCGGTTATTAGCCGGTTATTAACCGTTTGGCATTGTACCTGTTTGACCATTTCACATAGACATTAGACGCATAGTACAGTAATATCACATGAACACATAGATTACCTTATATCGTACATGATTGTGCTGATTAGAATTAGAAATGTTTGACCTGCACAACAGAACACACAACAATAACCTGGAAAACACTGCTGGGCCGTTAAATCAGTGTGAACCAGGTTTAGTTAAAGTGCACTTTAATGGGGTCGTTCACATATTACGCAATCACTAGCGTAATCAATTAGAACCCCCATTCCCCTGTGATTACGTAATAAATGTGAACGACCCCAATGTCCAAATCAAAGTCCAAAGATAAAATAAAATCTGCAGCCACACGTAAAATGCCCTGCTGGGAATAGTCAAATCTCCAAATACAGAGCATTGTGCCGATCTCCCTGACTAGCACTTGCAACACATCGCCCCAAGTTCTTGCTAGCAATTACAGGACAATGCACCGAGTGCGCTTCCGCTAGCAGTTTGTCACACAACTCATCAGGACGTTCCATCTTGTGGAGGTTTTTTCAATGAGGTAGCCATCATAGCACTTTGCTAAGCAGCTGAGGGGGTAAGTATTTTGGTTATCATGGTCCATATTTGAGGATTCGAATAAATAATAAATTATGCTATGTAAATATGATTTTATTTTAGATGCTCAATTTTGGACTGGAGCTGGTTGCTTTTTAATCGACAGATATTCAAATAAACTGTCACTGTATCAGAAACTAACAAATAAATAATGGATCATTCATTGGGAAATAGATAAATGACGTGTCATTAACTAATAAATAAAGAATGTCTTACTCCGAATCTAAAGTAGCCCTCTTCTCGAGACCTCTATTGATTTCTGCTCCGTTGATATCTGCAGTGTTGACCACGACGTTCAGTACACACACCAACAAAAGGACTATCCCGACATTGTTCATTCTCGTTGCGAGTTTTACTGTTACACTCCACACTCCTTAATGCTAATAAGATTGAGTGAAGATAATGAGGTTTTGAGGTTTATCAGGGTTAAAGTGAGGTTTTCGGGGGAAGACTATCTTATTTTTATTAAAAACAAAACAGCTAGAATCAAAATTTGAATCAACACTAAAAATCAGAAATATTAATTAAGTTACTTTTTTCTGCTAGAAATAGAAGCAACGAGAGAAAATAGAAACGCTTTATTTCTAGAATTTCAGTGCGAATTTAAAATATTTACAGATTAACCTCAATTTACATTTCACAGCAAATAGGTACAATTCCAATCGGCTAAAAGCCGGTTATTAGCCGGTTATTAACCGTTTGGCATTGTACCTGTTTGACCATTTCACATAGACATTAGACGCATAGTACAGTAATATCACATGAACACATAGATTACCTTATATCGTACATGATTGTGCTGATTAGAATTAGAAATGTTTGACCTGCACAACAGAACACACAACAATAACCTGGAAAACACTGCTGGGCCGTTAAATCAGTGTGAACCAGGTTTAGTTAAAGTGCACTTTCATGGGGTCGTTCACATATTACGCAATCACTAGCGTAATCAATTAGAACCCCCATTCCCCTGTGATTACGTAATATGTGAACGACCCCAATGTCCAAATCAAAGTCCAAAGATAAAATAAAATCTGCAGCCACACGTAAAATGCCCTGCTGGGAATAGTCAAATCTCCAAATACAGAGCATTGTGCCGATCTCCCTGACTAGCACTTGCAACACATCGCCCCAAGTTCTTGCTAGCAATTACAGGACAATGCACCGAGTGCGCTTCCGCTAGCAGTTTGTCACACAACTCATCAGGACGTTCCATCTTGTGGAGGTTTTTTCAATGAGGTAGCCATCATAGCACTTTGCTAAGCAGCTGAGGGGGTAAGTATTTTGGTTATCATGGTCCATATTTGAGGATTCGAATAAATAATAAATTATGCTATGTAAATATGATTTTATTTTAGATGCTCAATTTTGGACTGGAGCTGGTGCTTTTTAATCGAATTTCAAATAAACTGTCACTGTATCAGAAACTAACAAATAAATAATGGATCATTCATTGGGAAATAGATAAATTACGTGTCATTAACTAATAAATAAAGAATGTCTTACTCCGAATCTAAAGTAGCCCTCTTCTCGAGACCTTTATTGATTTCTGCTCCGTTGATATCTGCAGTGTTGACCACAACGTTCAGCACACACACCAACAAAAGGACTATCCCGACATTGTTCATTCTCGTTGTGAGTTTTACTGTTACACTCCACACTCCTTAATGCTAATAAGATTGAGTGAAGATAATGAGGTTTTGAGGTTTATCAGGGTTAAAGTGAGGTTTTCGGGGGAAGACTATCTTATTTTTATTTTTAAAAAAACTGTTATATAATCAAAATTTGAATCAACACTAAAAATCAGAAATATTAATTAAGTTACTTTTTTCTGCTAGAAATAGAAGCAACGAGAGAAAATAGAAACGCTTTATTTCTAGAATTTCAGTGCGAATTTAAAATATTTACAGATTAACCTCAATTTACATTTCACAGCAAATAGAGAAATAGGTACAATTCCAATCGGCTAAAAGCCGGTTATTAGCCGGTTATTAACCGTTTGGCATTGTACCTATTTGACCATTTCACATAGACATTAGACGCATAGTACAGTAATATCACATGAACACATAGATTACCTTATATCGTACATGATTGTGCTGATTAGAATTAGAAATGTTTGACCTGCACAACAGAACACACAACAATAACCTGGAAAACACTGCTGGGCCGTTAAATCAGCGTGAACCGGGTTTAGTTAAAGTGCACTTAAATGGGGTCGTTCACATATTACGCAATCACTAGCGTAATCAATTAGAACCCCCCATTCCCCTGTGATTACGTAATATGTGAACGACCCCAATGTCCAAATCAAAGTCCAAAGATAAAATAAAATCTGCAGTCACATGTAAAATGCCCGGCTGGGAATAGTCAAATCTGCAAATACAGAGCATTGTGCCGATCTCCCTCACTAGCACTTGCAACACATTGCGCCAAGTTCTTGCTAGCAATAACAGGACAATGCACCGAGTGCGCTTCCGCTAGCAGTTTGTCACACAACTCATCAGGACGTTCCATCTTGTGGAGGTTTTTTCAATGAGGTAGCCATCATAGCACTTTGCTAAGCAGCTGAGGGGGGTAAGTATTTTGGTTATCATGGTCCATATTTGAGGATTGAAGCTGATGGACATTACCCCCTATCAGAAACAATTATAAGATAAATTTCGAGAGAAATATAAAAAAAGAATGTCTTACTCTGAATCCAAAGTAGCCCTTTTCTCAATACCAGTGAGTTCGAGTAGGGTGTTGACCTCTGCTCTGTTGATCTCTGTCAGTGTTGACTACGACGCTCAGCACACACACCAACAAGAGGACTATCCCGACATTGTTCATTCTCGTTGTGAGTTTTACTGTTACACTAATAAGGTCGAGTGAAGATAACGAGGTTTTGGGGTTAAACAGTTAAACGGAAATGTTAAAACAGTGTGAACTAGTTAGAGTTTTAGTTGAAGTGTACTCCACTGAGCGCAGGTGCGGGACTCAATGGCGTGAGACTCTACGGCGGGAGATTTGTCGGTGCAAAACATGAGGGCTAGCTTTAGGTTGAGAGAAAATTCGCATACACAAACCCTAACCCTAAGGGAACCAGACACGAGGGCGGAGGACACAAGGGCAATGGAAATAAGAGCGCAGGAAACGGGACGGAACTATTTTTAAAGGGTGGACACAAGGGCCCAGGGAGGATGTGGTTAAATCAGTGATAGCTCAGGGGGTGGTTAAGTTAGAGTTAGCCCCAGGGGGGAGGGATGGTAGAGAAGCAAGATTTCAAGTTCAAAGTTCTTTAAGAGGGTAAGAATACCCACAAAAGTGATTCAAGTGTTTGAATATGATTTGAGAATCCTCGGTGGATTCTTATATAGTAGGTCACACGCCCAACATCATTATTTTACCTCTATCTATCTATTATTTTGCTCCCGTCACTCTTTTTGTCCCAATATCGTTGTGATTGCTCGCTCCCTTCTTTTGTGTGATTCTGCGTAATCTCGCAAGCAATTGGTCAAGAAAGAAAACACTCGGCGTCTTCAAAAATGAAATTTCATTGTCGGGCAGGGCGCTCTCTTTCTGAATCAAATACCGTCCCATTGTTCGTTTTCAATTCGGTAAGATCTAATTCAAGAGAATCGATTGCAAACCCTGCCCAATCTATTGAGGCTAAAAATATAACGTATTGTTTCAAAATCTGAGTCATTAAAAACCCTTTCAAGGGCAAATAAAGTCTTGCTTCTCCTCGGTCAAATTTTTACCCGCCTCACTAAAATCTAAAATTAACATGCTCTTCATTCGGTAAATTTGTGACATTAAGACCTGGGTATCATAGATTCGTGACTAATAAAGAGCGTATGAATGCGCTATCTTGAACTTGTTCAATTGTGTCTATGATCATTACATTATCGTTGAACTTTTAACATAGCGGACTGACCGTGGCAACGAGAACGCCCTTTGTTTCTTGTCGTTTAACGTAAGCAGCATGTACAAAGATGCAATTCCGTCCGCGCAAAGAATCGCACGTACTTAATTAATTTGATTCGATCGCGTCGCGCGTTACGTACGTACGTTACAATAATGTCTACGTCATGTCAATCGTCTATCATACCGACCCAATAATTAATAATAATATATATTTAACTATCATATCAAGAATCTTGGAAATTTAAGGGAGCGTCCACAGTCCACACGTAGCTAGATTCTGGTAATTTAATACCGTCTCTGTAATCATTGGTACGCGTAGCTTTATGTGGCCACTTCCGTCACGTCAGAGGGGTTAGTGTCTTCTTGTATTTAGTGTCCTTGAACATTGATGAAACGGCAACTCCCTCGGGGAGATGAGTTGTTTGGAGAAAAGCTCAAAACTCGATACGTTAGGTTCTTAACAAAATGGTATGTACAATGGTAACAACTAACAAGGGGTAAAGATACCTTCGGATCAACTTCCACATAAATATAGTTTCCAGTCGTGAATCTTCTTATTATCTCCTCTAAATCCTCTTATCTCTTCTTTGCCAATTCCCATTACCGGAACATTACCGGATCTTAACTTCATTATTTGTGTTTAACTTACCCAATGTTCCGGTCTGTATACTCCAGTAGCAGGCAGGGGTTGAGTGTTCAGTGTGCACTTCGCTGCATAGAGTTTTTTGCTACTGATTCAGGTTAAATAGGTCATTGGTAACTCAAATCACCGAGGGGCAAATTTTGTATCGCTAGTCCCAGTCCTACAGGGCAAAATTTCTAAATTGCCCTCAGTCGCAAATTTGGGATTTTTGTATCTCGGCTTCTAAAAGACTTAGAGACTTGAATATTAGCTTAAAATAACCGCAATAGCCTTATTTATATACAAGTTATGAAGCAATATAAGGTCTCAAGTGCCTAGTTTTAAAGATATCACGAAAAACTGTTTTTTGGCTCATCGCAGCCTGAATTACCGGATTATTTTTATATCTCGAGCTACAAAAGTCGTAGAAACTTCTCCGATATTGCAAAATATTCGCAATGAGCACATTTATATAAGCTTTATGAATCATTATATGCTCTAAAATGCTTATTTGTAGAGATATTAGCAAAAATCGGTAATTTTGGCTACACTGTCAATACAAATTTGGTAATTCGTTTTGTCTTTTTGTTGCAAATATTTACGTTGCAATTTTCAAGATGCGGTTTGTGGCTATCGATAGGGCTTTATATATTATTGTATGGTTTTGATAAAATCCTTCAGCACCTGACATAGGCAATAGGGGTCACAAACCCTGAAATGTCAGGAACTGGGCAGTGGCCGAGATAAATATTTGATAATAAATTGGACTCTTGACTCACATACATCTTTTCAACGGTTAGTTAGACATCTTAAACCAGTATTGAACGTTGAGTAAAACTTCTGATCCATTTGTAGCCCAGGTAATGTGCCCCAGATTCCAGAACCTCACGCCTGAGTGACAGTGGGCCTTATCGATCATGAGCCGCAAATCACAATGACTTTGGGCCTCAGAGACAAGGGTATTCGTACTCTTGGCTTAAATTGGCTCTTCGTTAGTATCATCAATCAGGTTTATAACTTCTATATTATCTGCCTGTCCAGTGCAGTATCCACCTGTCTCTTTGAGATTCATTATTACTTCAAGAAGCTCCACTATCATGCTGACACTATACAAGTCCATGGTACGCAGTTTACTCGAATACTGCTGCCCATTATGGAATCCATCTAAAGTGTCAGATATACAAGAACTGGAAGGAGTTCAACGGACATTCACATCTCGAATAGCAGGAACCAAATACCTTGATTACTGGGGGAGATTAAAAAAACTCTCACTCATGTCTCTACAACTTCGAAGGGAACGCTATATCCTGCTACACATGTGGAAGATCCTTCATGGGTCCATCAGCAACGATCTGAAGATTAACCCTAATACCAACTCCATCCTGGAATGGCGAAAGGATCCTGTAACATCGGAGCTATGGGGCGGTCAAGATAGTTGATGACCCTGTTGCAGTGCGCTAAACCCAACAAAAGTAACAAAAGTCAGCCACAGGACTTCTGGCACCTGCAACTTTGGGTCCCAGAACTTCGGGCCCAACGATACCTATCCCTCAGTGACTCTGTGCCCCACATAATTCTAATTTATGACTCAATGTAAGTTGTAAATGCTGAGATGGACATTCGATAACCTGTAGAGCCCAGGTTCAAGATTATATTGAGAGATAAAGGAGGTGAATCTGTTTTTATGCCAGTATGATAGGGAAGACTTCTGAAAAAGGAACTTAAAAATGAGCTATGTTAAGCAAAAAATCAGCATTACCATGTGCATTACCAGTACTCCAGCATTACCAGTGCTCTGGGGGCCAATATTTTGGGGCAGTAGGACTGAAAACTTACAAACTTGCTTGCTGAACACAATTACCTCAAAAGTAGCGAAACCAGATATTTCTAAATTTAGAGATATTGCTGGACTGAAGTCCCTCATTACACCTATAACAGTTGAACAGAAGCGAAATGACTGAACTTGAAGTAATAATGAATATCAAAGAGACAGGTGGACACTGGACAGGCAGATGATATCTATATCATCTGATATAGATATAGATATAGATATATCTATATCTAACTTCTATAGAAGTTATAACTTTATAAACCTGATTGATAATATTAACGAAGAGCCAATTTAAGCCAAGAGTACGAATACCCTTGTCTCTGAGGCCCAAAGTCATTGTGATTTGCGGCTCGTGATCGATAAGGCCCACTGTCACTCAGGCGTGAGGTTCTGGAATCTGGGGCACATTACCTGGGCTACAAATGGATCAGAAGTTTTACTCAACGTTCAATACTGGTTTAAGATGTCTAACTAACCGTTGAAAAGATGTATGTGAGTCAAGAGTCCAATTTATTATCAAATATTTATCTCGGCCACTGCCCAGTTCCTGACATTTCAGGGTTTGTGACCCCTATTGCCTATGTCAGGTGCTGAAGGATTTTATCAAAACCATACAATAATATATAAAGCCCTATCGATAGCCACAAACCGCATCTTGAAAATTGCAACGTGAAAATTTGCAACAAAAAGACAAAACGAATTACCAAATTTGTATTGGTGTAGCCAAAATTACCGATTTTTGCTAATATCTCTACAAATAAGCATTTTAGAGCATATAATGATTCATAAAGCTTATATAAATGTGCTCATTGCGAATATTTTACAATATCGGAGAAGTTTCTACGACGTTCGTAGCTCGAGATATAAAAATAATCCGGTAATTCAGGCTGCGATGAGCCAAAAAACAGTTTTTCGTGAATATCTTTAAAACTAGGCACTTGAGACCTTATATTGCTTCATAACTTGTATATAAATAAGGCTATTGCGGTTATTTTAAGCTAATATTCAAGTCTCTAAGTCTTTTAGAAGCCGAGATACAAAAATCCCAAATTTGCGACTGAGGGCAATTTAGAAATTTTGCCCTGTAGGACTGGGACTAGCGATACAAAATTTGCCCCTCGGTGATTTGAGTTACCAATGACCTATTTAACCCGATTCAGTAGCAAAAAACTCTATGCAGCGAAGTGCACACTCAACCCCTGCCTGCTACTGGAGTAGTAAGTTATCTTGGAAATCTAAGTTACTTCATAACTTGGCAGCTGTTTGCGATGAGAATACATTTTATCCAGTTCCACGCAAAAATCTGATGTAGAACTGCAACTACCAGAATTACTATACAACATCACCATATTTAGTATTTCATTCAACTAGGTTCATCATTTCAATCTGTACCTCCAGCAAATGACCAGTTTCATCCCTCTCGCAGGTACGGGAATGTGCATCCTGCATTCCACATCGGTACGCTGAAGAGCGCCCTGACAGCCGCGTTTAACGTACCAGCCGATCTGAAACGACCCCTTATAGTGTTCCTGCACTCGGACAAGGCTCTTACTGGACATCTCTTTTGCAGGTAATAGAGTGATTGAAATACCGGGGAAACATGTGCACTATCGGGTAAAAAGAAGTGCACAACTTAGTGCACAGTGTATTTTTATAACCATTTACTAGGGCAACTCCAGGACTTGCCTGCGGATTTGTAAATTTAGACTTAACCACCTCTTTTTTAGGTTGCATTCAGCCGTTGTTTGGGATCCTTAAGAATTGATAACATATTTGGGACAAGAGAAACACGAATTAGGACTATTTGAAGTTTGACTCACATTTCTTAACCCCTCCTCCCTCCTCAGTCAGGTGATTTGCAGTGAGAGTATGGCTGGTTACATAGACCAGCACTTCGTCATGTGGGCTTACGATCTGACAGAGAGAAGACTGCAGCAGCAGATCCTGACGGAGTGTCAGTCTATATTCGGCTACAGTGGTCGCCAGCAGGTGAGTGTCAGTCTATATTCGGCTACAGTGGTCGCCGACAGGTGAGTGTCAGTCTATATTCGGATACAGCGGTCGCCAGCAGGTGAGTGTCAGTCTATATTCGGCTACAGTGGTCGCCAGCAGGTGAGTGTCAGTCTATATTAGGCTACATTGGTCGCCAGCAGGTGAGTGTCAGTCTATATTCGGCTACAGTGGTCGCCAGCAGGTGAGTGTCAGTCTATATTCGGATACAGCGGTCGCCAGCAGGTGAGTGTCAGTCTATATTCGGATACAGCGGCCGCCAGCAGGTGAGTGTCAGTCTATATTCGGCTACAGTGGTCGCCAGCAGGTGAGTGTCAGTCTATATTCGGCTACAGTGGTCGCCAGCAGGTGAGTGTCAGTCTATATTCGGATACAGCGGTCGCCAGCAGGTGAGTGTCAGTCTATATTCGGATACAGCGGCCGCCAGCAGGTGAGTGTCAGTCTATATTCGGCTACAGTGGTCGCCAGCAGGTGAGTGTCAGTCTATATTCGGCTACAGTGGTCGCCAGCAGGTGAGTGTCAGTCTATATTCGGCTACAGTGGTCGCCAGCAGGCGATCAAGAGTGTTATCAGTAGATGGGTTAAGGGGTCATCGACCAGGACATTGGTTATTTGTAAAATGTTCGATTTTCACCATTTTAAATCGGTCAATATGCCGATGACCCCCAGCCTTACTTTAACCTTCAATCTTCGACGTGTGATGATGGAAATTTTTTAATCGAATCAGACTACACCGTAGTTACATTGTAAACAACATTGAATAACAGCGTCCCCCCTCAGGTGGAAATGTACGTGCCGGACAAACTGCCCCTCATGATAGTGATAACAAAGGTACAGAGTGCTCCCCAGGTATTTGCTGTGTTCCAGGGTGACATATCACCTGACCTGCTCATGGCTCAGCTGATAGATGCGGTGGAAAATTATAATCAGACTAGGTCGATTGAGAAGGCTGCTGAGGTTTGGTCTATTTCAAAATTAAAATATATTTTCCATCAGTATATTATTAAAATTTAACTTACACAAAACCAAAATATACACAATTAGACCACTTGCACTGTAGCATGAAGGATAGATAAATAATATGTTCTTGAGTTTGAGTTTGGGAGGTTATACACATAAAATATACATAATATAATATTAGCCATTTCTTCGAGAAATTTAAGTACTGTGCTTTGCAAATTGGATTGGTTTTAAACTAAATTAAGATAATAAATTAATAAATTAAAATACAAGATACCATTAAAATACCATTAAAATACCATTATTCCAGCTAGAACAGGAGCAAAGAAGTCGGTTGAGGGAGCTGCAGGAGCAGGAATATTTGGATTCCTTACAGGTACGCCATATTTGGTCAAGTTGCTCCTTTTCTCTCCGATGATGAATAATATAATAATATATAATACGTAGATCGAGATTCGTATCGCACGTATTTTTCTCGAATACTTTTAGTGGGCACTCCGCACTATACATTAACCTAGTTCCAACTTCCATGTGTACTAGTCGGAGTAATTGTTTGAAGTTGACTTTCACAAATTCTTTCAGCGTGATCGTGAAAAAGATGAAATGAAGAAAATTGAAGAAAAAGAGAAACAACTGCAAGTAGAGACGGAAGAAGCAACGTTGTCTTCCTTTGAAGACCTCGTTCCTCCTGAGCCCGATTCTAATACCCCCAGTAAGTATTTAGTATAATCCAAAAAGTGTTCGGAGTTTAAATATCATAGTACAGGAATTTCATTTTAAGTAAATTATATTTTTGACTTCCTCGTGTGGGGACCTCACCACTTCCTTAATTACTACAAAGAGTTTTTGACAAGATAAAAATCGTGATGACTTCTTATCTCATATAAGTTTGAGCCAGTACCATTTAAAAAAAATTAAAAAATGAAAATAAACTTTACATCAACGTATTACAGTTATATTTAGAAAAGACCACAATATCTCCATGACAGCACTTTGCCCAGGTTCCGATATAACGTTCAAACTGCCTTCCGGGGAGAGAATAAACCGTAAATTTGTGCACCGCACCCAACTGAAAGTGTTGTCTTATTTCGTCGGCAGCAAGGGTTACCCTCCAGCCAACTTCAAACTCGTGCAGAACTTCCCCAAACGACAGGTTTGTGAATTTAGTCTTTTTTTACGTGATTTTTTACTTTTTTGGGCTTTTCCATGTAATAGTTTTCTTTCATTCTGAGAACGGATCAAACTTCGTCAACAAAAAAAGCTTTTAAAAAAATTATTTAACCCCAACCTCCGTACCAAATGCCAAAATTTACAGCCCAAAAATTGCCTAAATAAAATAATTACCAATTTACTGAATGCTAATCACCTTACATCTCAGTTTGACGAGGACGAAATGTACTTGACGTTAGATGACCTGGGATTGACCCGTCGTGAGATATTGTACGTTGAAGAGAGGGACTGAGCCGAGTTTAATAGCTGGTATCTGCTTGTTAGCTTGCTAATCATCAAATTAATTAAATAATTAATTGAGTGCCTTACCAGTTATGAGAATAGGGTGTTTTTATGTTGTAAAACGTAAAGCTTTTCCTGATGTATAACGTGGTATATTTGTAAACATTGTTTTTAAGGGGGGACTTGAAGGGTAATGATTTGTCAGCAAGTTGTTATAATCTACTGACGAGCAAAATTGTTTGCCTTTTTGGCACTTGAGGAGAGTTGTGTAATATTATCAACGAGGAAAGTTATATAATATATAAAAACCAAGTTTGCTCGACGTTTTTAATTTTCAATACCATGATAAATAAGTTAAAGATCATTCATATCTTTAACGGGGAAAGGGGTTTGGAAAATAAAATTTTTCAAAAAGTGATAACGTAATATTATGTGAACGACCCCTAGTCATAATATATATCCGATGGGCCAGGGGTCTACAATCTACATCTCTTTTCAACCCATAACCTGTGGCCACGGGATAGTTTTATTAAAATGGGTTAAGCCTAAAGCTGTCAGCAATGAGCACATAATCATGTCGTGATGGTTTTTGTAATGTTAGGAATTTATTTTCGGCATTTTTATATCAGCTCTCTGTTGGTCAAGCTTTGGCTGTAAATTTTGGTATTTAAATACGTTATCTTATATTTATCACAAATTAAAATTCATTAAATTCCGTCACGATCTTGTTTTATTTCTTGTAAACGTGACAATTAATTATACAAGCTAAATCAAAAAGGCTTTTCTGGTAAAATAAACAAATCTTATGTACACATAAATTGAATAAAATCGTTCAATCTCCCCATTTTAACATGAATGAATGGTTGTAATTTCTTCCAGAAGTTTTACTTAAATTCCTTGATACATTGAATACATCTTATCACAGAAAAGAAAGCGAAAAGAGCTATACAACGTGTATCAATTAATTGCTCTCTGAAATATAATGTTTGTACATACACGTTTGAAAAAACACTACGCTAAAACGGCATTTTTTTCCTGACATCCAACGTTTATTTCTTCACCAAACATTTTCACAAACAATTTGTGATCTTAAGAATTAAAAATCCAATTATATTACGGGATCAGTAAAGTTAGTGAGTTCTAACAGCTGTAAACATGTTGGTTGTTTGGACAGAGTCATGACTCTGAATTAAATTCTGATGAACTCTGTGAACATGTGGCACTGCATCAAACTGGGGTTAAAAATCTCTGCACTTCTTTCGTTATGAATTAAGCCTATTTCTTCCCTTTCTTTCCTTTCTTCCCCTTCTTTCCCTTGCCCTTCTTTCCCTTCTTCTTGGCGTAAGGACCAAGACCTCGCCTGACCATAACACCCTTCCACCAAGCTTGAATCTGAAACAGTGAATTGTGAGAAGAAGTGATTTTAACCAATTCTAGGTAAATTTGATTTTGATGACTACAGTCTGCCAGGGTACCGTGGAACACAAGGTTACCAAAATGAAAAGGCAAGAAAGAAAAAAACAAAATATTGCTAATACCTTGGTAGCGCAGCGTATTTCAAGTTGAGCTTTTTCGGCTGCTTTTTTGGCTTTCTCTTTCTGGGCTCTGTCTTCCATCACCACTTCCTCGTATTCTTGATACTGAAAATAGGGAGTGCTGTGTTATCACAGTTCGAAAGTATGAACCATAAATTATCTGCGGTTAGCAGGGGCGGAGCTGATAACTCAATACCATCATCTGTGGTTTATCTTACATATAAAGCGATAAGAATAATATAAATTAATAGTTGTTGCCATGGCAACGCGCACGAAGCTCAACAAAATATAGGTACGCGCCCGCGCAAAAAGGAAGAAATTTTATAAAAACTTGCCACTGTGACAAAATCATTAAAACAATCCCAAACCGCCAACATACCAATACTACCAAATACTAAAACTCCGAGCGTCTTAATGATTTGTGTATACATTCAATTATTTCGGAAAACGGTAAGCTTCCAGTGTATAAAAAACAAATTAAGCAAACTATTGAAAACAAAGCTGTCATTACCTTTAGAGTAAGTTCCTGCAGTTTGAGCAAAATGTTAGCTTTGGAGCCCTTTAATCCACTCAACTCCTCGGATTTCTGATCGACCTCTCTTTCGTATCTACGGGAGTGGTATGAGATTAGTTGAAGCTTGATGGCGTCAACAAAAAAGCCACGTGCTCTATGATTTGTAAGACTTCCCATCGTTTATAGAATGAAAAATTAAAGTGTTTCCGAGAGAAAGGGTCGGAAAAGTTATATCACTCACTTGTCCATCCAGAACTCAACTTTCTCTTGCAGCTGGTCGTGATGTTTCTTTACCCACATTTCAGTTTCCTAATAAAGGCAAGATTGTCAAATGAGATGTCAGATTTTCCTTATTCGAATATGCAATCAATCGATCACGTTATTCTCATAAAGTCATAAAGTTATATAATCCCGGATACCTTGTTGACTTTGTTTTCTTCTTCAAGCTGTATTTGAAGGTTTTCCAATTCTGCCTGCAATTCTGCCTCAGTCATTTGACACTGTTTGTTCTTCATAACTTTCTGGACCTGTGTAACAATTCCTTAATTAGTTTATAATTAGATGATAATTAATAAAAAACAGTTGGCAATTAGTAAATAATAGCTTGATATAAGAAGATGTAAGAACGATAGTTACATAATGAGATACAAATTTATTCACATCAATCATTAAACCAAAGTGTATCATGATGCCTGGTATTCCTGGCATTTCTGTATTACCTGGCACTCCTTCTCAATGTATTTTCTCTCCATGGTGGTCTTAGCTCGAGTCTCTTGAAGCTGATCCTTCAGATGAGCAATCATTTCGTTACGACTCTGCATTTCTACCTGCAACGTTGCAAAGTTAGAGACAATTCGGAGAGCGGGATAATCGAGTGTGAAAAATATACCTGTACGAACTTATAAATAATTGATACAAAATTACACGGTACAGTAACAGTGTGAGACTTATGCCTCAACGTTAAAACACCGCCATGTCATACAATGATTATTAATACCTCTTTTGATTTCTTCAGTTCTAGAAGTTGTCTTTGTAACGCTCTGACGTTCTTCCTAGCATCCTCCTCCCTGAAAGAAAAGAGGTAAAAAGAGGTAAAAATGGGTTTGAAAAGGTTTAAAAATGTGAAAACAGCTTTAAAGAGGTTATAATACGTCAAAAGAGGTTAAAAGAGGTTTAAAAGAGGTAAAATAGGTTAAAAGAGGCCATAACTCATAGCCTTAGTCACAAGTAATCGCAAGATATCGGATTCCACATAAACAAACACAGAATCAAAATTTTGGAAACAAAGTTAAGTTAAGGAAGGGAAGCTGAAGGGGGTCTAAAATTACCAACAAAAAAAGGCTGACGTAAATGACCCCAAATATCCCAAAAAAGCCACATTACACCGCGGTATATGTTCACATAACAACGCGTTATCTAGTTATCTAACCCCTCCAAAAATACACATAAATGGTTTCCCTGATCTCATTACCTGGCAGACCTCAAATTAATGTGATATCGATTACCAAATACCAAATGAAGCCAGTTACCCGGAGAACCCTGCCACACTGCCAGAAGTCAAGCTCTGAAGTGCTGTAATTCGATGAGGAGAGCAGTGCCAGACTTATCATCTTATTATTCGGGTTCATCCAGAGATCAATGGTCTCTTTAGGATTGTTGGTCGGGATTTGTTTTTATTTCATTAACACTTTAGACTTTAGGGTTCAAGGTAGAGAAAATTCTGGAGAGCTTTCGCGAGGCTTCCTTAGATTGATTGATTTTTGGGTTTTTCTTTGATCCTGCCGTGAGGAACTCTCGCTAGTTCTGGTATTATCTTTTTTGCGATTGGTAAATTTCGGTCCCACTTGATTCAACAGTATTTAGAAAGCTGGAATGGTCTTGGTATGATTTTGGGTGTAAGGACGAAATAAGACACGGAACAGGAACCCATACGTCATGCAATTACCTTATCCTGGTGAGATTTTCCCTTTCCGGCCCCCAAATATTGCGACATAATGAATAGGTTTTTAAGTGTATTAAGATTGGGCATCAGCCCATTTTGAATGTTTTAGATTTCATTTTGTTCGTTATTTTTTGTGCGATTAGATTTGATAGTTAAGCAAATATTGATTCGTATTTTTTGATGGATAACCCATATAAGCTAAATCTAAATTCCTAAAGTTTCCCGGCCAACGATATTTTATTTTTATCAGCTAATTTTATATCTTCACCACCATCACCCCATCCTTAGCCAACAAACCATGTCAAAACCCATGCTCTCAATCCAAAGTTCTCGCAGAATGGATATGGGTGCCATGCCAATCGTTATCGCTCTCTTATCAGTAGCAGTTTTACTGATAACACTTATCTGTTGCAGTGTCTGTTGGAAACGAACCTCGAGCCCCCAGGACCAGCTCCCTCATACTATTGTAACGAGGAACAGAGCTGTTAATAATCGTCACGATAGGAGGACTGTTAGTACGTGCAGCACTCTTGAGGTGATCGAGGAATGAGGGTTATCAGAGAGGGGTCAAGTGTAGCACTCTCGATGTGATCGAGGAATGAGGGGTATCAGAGAGGGGTCAAGTGCAGCACTCTTGAGTCTTGATGTGATCGAGGAATGAGGGGTATCAGAGAGGGGTCAAGTGTACTGTGTAGCACTCTTGAGGTGATCGAGGAATGAGGGGTATCAGAGAGGGGTCAAGTGTAGCACTCTTGATGTGATCGAGGAATGAGGGGTATCAGAGAGGGGTCAAGTGTAGCACTCTTGATGTGATCGAGGAATGAGGGGTATCAGAGAGGGGTCAAGTGTAGCACTCTTGAGGTGATCGAGGAATGAGGGGTATCAGAGAGGGGTCAAGTGTAGCACTCTTGAGGTGATCGAGGAATGAGGGGTATCAGAGAGGGGTCAAGTGTAGCACTCTTGATGTGATCGAGGAATGAGGGGTATCAGAGAGGGGTTAAGTGTAGCACTCTTGAGGTGATCGAGGAATAAGGGGTATCAGAGAGGGGTCAAGTGTAGCAATCTTGAGGTGATCGAGGAATGAGTGGTATCAGAGAGAGAATTACTGGTCAAATGGTCAATGTTATGTTACTATGTCGACTTAATTATTTGCGGAGATTACAAGCTTCGACACGTAAAAGAAAGTGTACGGTAACTACAAACATCACCAATATCATCGAATCTTTACCGAATAGGAGCAGAAACTACAATGTTATTTCAAATAAGAGCTGGATTTTTTGAAATAATTATAATGGAGAATCGCAATTTCTCAATTTTTTATCTCAGTTTTAGCTGAGGATGTGTGTGTAACAATAACTAAATTTGTTTTAACTAAATTTTAACTAAATTTAACTTTTGAACTGATTAAAAATGTTTTAACCTAATCTGGACAACTCCCCACTGAAGTTCTTCACTATGCAGAAAGTTCTAGAGCTACTAGAGTGTTCAGTTGGCATCCATGATGCAAAATCTGTTTATTTAAGTCGAACTTTTACCACGGGAATTGAGCAATTACCACAATGTGGTGATACGACCACTTTAATTTATAAAATAATTGCACAATTAACATATTCGTGAATGAAATATCACTAAATTTCGTACAATTGGTTACTATATCTAATAATTGATAATGAATTTTATGATCAACAATGAACAGTTTTTATAATTCTTTACTAAGTAAAGCATTATTTTTACTAGTACTACTTTTTCAATAACAGTACCTATTTATTATTTAAGAAATATCACAGTTCTCACAAATAATTGTATTAATGTTTTAAAATTAAAAGTCCGCAATTTGAAGCCTATTAACAAACAATTAAGGCCACAGGGGGGGGGGGGGGTCCGAAGTCGATTTTGAGATTTTGAGATATGCTGTAGAGCTCGATCTAAATTTTTAAACGCTTTTGTCCTTACCGAAAACAAAGTTTCCTATTTGAAGATATCGCGCGTTGAATTTTGAGGTTTACCTGTAATTCTATTGTAAATGAAAACTTTAAATGAAATTGTGTTCAAAATCTATCTTCTTTTTTCAGTTTATGACTTAGAACCTTGTAACTTGGCAACAATGTTCTTCAAGGTATTTTGAGTTTTAGTTATGTAACGATTTATGATATCTTGCTCCGAAGCTGAGATATGAGGTTAACCATGAGTGCGCGTCACAAAATTTACAAAATTTAAAACGGTTAACCTCATAAAAAGAGTTAGGAACAAAATTACAACAATCGTTACTTACTTACTTTAGGTACTTTAGGTTGGTTTGGCAGGGATTGCTTCTGGACAACAGTAACTAGTACGTCCTCCATTCATTCCTGGTTCAGATCTTTCTGTAGATTCCATTCCAGGAGTGAGTTGTTGGTGATGGCGGTGTATCCTTTGGTTGGCGGGGTATCGGGAAACGTCTCCAAAAATCGAGCAAGTGATACCTTGAAGGGTCCTAGAGCAGTTAAACTGTTCACTTGTTGTGGGAGGAGGTTCCATAGTCTCGCTACATTCACTCCAAAGGAATTCTCGTAATGAGTGGCCACTGATCGTTGCGATTTGTTGTTCAGTGGTGGGACTATGGCTTTTATGCCATGTCGAGCGTTTTCCTTGAATACCATGTTGATGTCATTTGGAGCAAGGTCGTTTGCCATCTTCCATGTATGGATCAGGATGTATCGCTCTCTCCGCCTCTGCAGGGAGAGCAGGTCCAGCTTTTTAAGACGGTCCCAATAGTCCAATTGCTGACAACCTAAGATACGGCGAGTGTAGTTCCTCTGAACATTTTCGATTGCTTCTATATCGGTGATTTTGCTGGGGTTCCAGACCGGGCAACAGTATTCTAGCCTGCTCCTCACCATTGTTTTGAAAAGGGTGAGCATCAGGAAAGGTGATCTGTCACTGAAGACACTGAAGACCCACGATGCCATTTTCTTAGCAGTTTTCAGCATCTGATGGATATGGGGCGTCCATGAGCAGTCATTTGAGAGGAGTACTCCAAGGTCTCTGACTGTTTGCGTTGGTTCGATAATTTCCCCGTTTGTTGAGCTGTAGCTGTAGTCTTCGTTGGAGAAGGGGAGTTCTCTTAATAGCAGGGATTTATTCAGCTTGTAGTTGATAACTTCAAATTTGGTTTCGTTTAGCTGCATGTTATTTTGCACGGCCCATTTGATGACATTAAACAGATCTTCTTGAAGCAAACACCTTGCTACTAAATCAGTAATTTTGCTTATAAGCTTCGTGTCATCAGCAAAGACCTTTCCAAGTGCAGTTAATAACGTGTCCAGTTGGTCATCTATATACAGAATAAACAAGATTGGACCTAACACAGTTCCCTGTGGGACACCACTTATCACAATCTGGAAGGACGACTTTTCTCCTTCGACGACCACTGTCTGCAGGCGATTCTTTAAGAACTCAGCAAGCCACTGTAGAGTTTTGCCCGTGATACCGTAGCGTTTGGCTTTACATAACAAACTTTTAAATTTATGTCAGCAACATAAGTTCCAAATTTGAGGTGAAATGGATAAAAGCTCTAGGAGAAGATAGGCTTTTGAGGTGGTAAATAAATTGTTCAGGAGAGTCAAAAGACTGATTCTGAGAAAATAGGTTAACCTCAATTTTCCAACAAATAAAGGACATATAATAGTTCTGTTCGCATTGGATGGCCAATTGATACCCATTGATAAGTTTAACTTGTGATGAGAGCAACAAAATGTTAAGAACTGGTTATTTGTGAGGTTAACTGATTAAAAAGGCAATAGTTAACCTCAATTTTACGACAAACTAGGCGCTCTGGGGGGCTAAGGGTAGTGTGCAAGCATCAGATAGTACGTGGTCTGCCAACTGGCAAAAAACGTTCTTTCGACCTCGGACCCCCCCTGTGGCCTTAACAACCAATTAATAACCAATTAACCCACCTGAGTATAGTTTCCTGTAATTTGTTCTTCTTCTCCCTCTCCTCAACAGTTGCTCTGATCAGTCCCTCGAAGGATCCCTCTTGTGAAACTTCCTCTAAACATTCCGCTACCAGGTCTTGTAGGTACTCTCTGAAAAACAACACTATTAACAACAATTGTAAGTATTCTCTGAAAAACAACACTATTCACTCAACTAGTTCTTTGGATTTCAATTAAATCGAAACAGGAAACTACGAAATAAGTGCTGATTCTATAAGGTATTGCAGTTCATCCTTGAAAAACGTACTCTTTTCTCACAAACCTTACTTCATCAGACGTAACTTTTAGAAAAGCTATAATTTACAATTGAAAATATCATTCTTCGAACAAGATAATACTAGATCTATAAATTAAATTAAACTAAGCTCGTTTTCCAAAATTTCCCTCACTACCCCACACCAAATACCCCACCTATCTTGTTGCAGCTTGATAAGGTTCTCCGTAGCTAGTGGGTTCAGCTTCACGCTCTTCATGATAGCCTGAGCGCTGGACTTCATGTTCTGTTTTAAGGAGGACATCTCCGAGGAGTTCTTGTCGTTCATCACAAGTTCCTCGTATCGTCCCTCCAGGTGCTTCTGTCCATTTAGCAGCTTGGCTATCTCGTCTATTGAGTTCTAAAGAGAGGGTGATGAGTTAGTTGGTGATGGTCTAAAAGTGGGTTTTGCGACCAACTAATCGCGGGAAATATTGGGGTAGCACCATGACATAAAATATTTCCCAAAAGATTTGTTCCATCAAAAAAACTTCATAACCACGCAAAGTTTCAGATTACCAAACCATTAAAAATAGCATCCAGACCAACTCACATTGTCAGTATTATTAGTAGGGTTATCAGGAATGGAGATGATACTGCCCAGTACAGCCAGCTGATCTACACAATCCTCTAAAACTGCGGCCACGTGCTCCGCGTCAAGCGCACACATCTCCAGAGGAGAATCCGAGGTTAACAACATTCTAATAAAATGATATGGTATTAAGACAAAAGTCTTGTAGGTTACATAGCATACATATAAAATCACCGTTACAAATACTTTCTTTTTAAGGGCGTGGATGTCAGTGTGAGTATTGGCATTCCCGTTAATTAGTTAATTGTTTGTTCGATTATGTTAATTTTTATTATAATAATTGTTATGACAGTTTATCCCGAATAATTTAAGAATCGGCTACGTTTTCATTTATTGGCCTGTTTTCATACAATAGAAACATGACATGTGCAGATTGTTCATGTGTATAATATAATGATAATAGAAATCGAATCTTGGAAAACAATTAATTTAAAAGACTTTAAAAACTAATAACTGTGTAACAAAACATAGTTTTATCAATCAAAAAGAGCCCCAAAAGTTTCTTGGTCGTCAATTTTTATTGCACATAAAAATCCCAAATAATAATCTTTATTCAAAATCCCAAAAATAATACGATATAAGTCTAATTATATACAAATATCTTTTACAGCAACAAATAACATCAAAATACTTTGATATAATTTGATTTAATCGAATATTCAATTAACGTAACATTTAAATTATGTGAATAGTAAGAAATATTAACATATTTACAATTTACATTCCCTTGAACTCCGTCCTAAGATCAGAGAACTTCTTATTAACATCCACCAGATACTCCTCAAAACCATCAGCCTTCACAAGCTCCATCTCCAGAGGTTGTCTCAGAGACGCGTTAACAGCCCCAGAATCTGTTCTGCTAGGAATTCTTTTGGGCGAGTTGAGGCGAGGGACCTGTTTTGTGTCTGCTAGTTTTGAGGTTTGAGGTGATTTAAGTCTGGAGATGGAGGGTGAGGAGGTACGACGGAGAGGAAGAGGGTCCAACAGCCCTGGTTTCTTGGAGAGACTCCTAAAATGGTTTCAGTTGAGATTATGTGGATATGACCGCAGTGATACCATATCACCCCTTAAAATTGGTTTAAATGTCATCCAATATTTTTTGTAGTTAATTCACCGGCACATTCATTAATGCTGGTTAATAAGCGAAATGTCTCTAAATAAGATGAAATATTAATAAGCTCTTTTTTCATAAAAGAGCTCGTCTTCATATAATAGAACTTGTTGTTTAATTAAAATATGAATCACTTACTGGGAACTCAATGTCCGTTCCAGTGGAGGTAGACAGTTTCTACTCAGCTCACTTGCTTCTGAGATTATTATATTATTAATTGTTATAAAGTATTTATAATTAATATATCTTCAAAGCTTCTCAATTAAAGAGTTTATACTTATATGTTTAATGTTACTCCGCCCAAGTGCTACTACCAATACCAAAAGTATTATGGAAGGGAGCGCTGCGGAGTGTAAGTTATCGGAAAATGAGGGAAAGATGTAGAACGTTGTCCAACACTCAATACCGAAACTTGGCAAAGAGAGCACAAGAACAGCGACTCAATCCCTTACTGGACATTGTGAACTAAACTACCATATCAATAAGTTCAAGCCGACAACGGTCCCTAAACCTTGTCCACACTGTCTCATGGAAGAGGAGACAAAGAAGAAGAAGAATATGTTAAATAATGACCAATCAATCAAGCCAACAACTTGTGATGATGCGATGATGAATGAGGTGGTGAAGACTGAAGGTAACTGCTAGTACGGATTGAATATCGTTTATCCAAGGCTGTCAAAATGCGAAAATGTCTGTTTCATTTGCTAATTGTCAAGCGCATTACGACGATGGTCGATGATCTTAAGATTTTACTGAGGGAAGAGTATTGAGAAGCCGGAGACCTCCTCCCCAGAGAATGTGTCACGTGAGAACTGAGACCTCCCCAGGAACCTGAGACCTCCTCCCCAGAGAATGGGTCACGTGAGAACTGAGACCTCCCCAGGAACCTGAGACCTCCTCCCCAGAGAATGTGTCACGTGAGAACTGAGACCTCCCCAGGAACCTGAGACCTCCTCCCCAGAGAATGGGTCACGTGAGATCTTCTCCTCAGAGAATGTGTCACGTGAGATCTTCTCCCTAGACTGGGATGATCAGACACATGTTACTCTATCATATCAGCATGTCTAAAGGTAACAAATTGACAGCTTAATGTAGCTGTCTATTCAAAAGATCCTTACATATTGATAATTATCAGGAATATTGTCTTAAAGATTTGGCAATAAAATGGCCACTGTAAAAGATTATATACATGGAAGGAATCTAAATATTATCAATATTCCCTCAAGTTTTACATAGTTTATCATCTCGCTTTACAACTAGGCGACATTTATTATCACCTCTTATCTTCTTTGAAATCAACAATGATCATGATAAATATCATTGAGGTGTGATGGTTATTTGAATGCAGTCAGTACCCAGGTGCAATATATTGACCCCTCTTGCTAAACTATCATCCTGACTCAACTCAAAGGCTCCAGTAAGATTTCGTGTCAGCAGCTGGCCATTCAGACAATTACCCAAACTAACAACATAGCTGCAATGAATCCTTTATTTTGCAGGTTAGGTTTGTTGGTTATGTTAAGATTTGTCTTTATTTAAACCAATTCTTTACAATAATTCACCTCAATATCTTAAATACATCAATCAAAACCATTTGATGTTAGCAAAACTTTAGGATGAAACCACACGGCATGAGGAAGATAACACCTCCAAACGATCACGGAACAAGTCCTGAACACTACATACCACACTACATACCACACTACATAACACTCGGGCTAACAACACTAAACTCTATCATATCCCTACTATCCATACTCTCTAACGGACTGATCATCCAGTTTCACAAGTCCAATACCAAGCGGACTGTTCCTTTTCTCTTCTTCACCAACGCAGCTAACGATATCATCTTAACCATTGGGGTTCTCCTGCAGACTCTCAGTTTTATATGTCATGCAGCAGAGTGGAGGATGGGGTATCTGGGGTGTCTGGTTGGGGCTGGCTATGTGGTTGTGGGTACTTGTGTTAGAGTTAGTTCCTTTATCAACCTGATGGTGTGTGTGGTACGTTCTCTCAATATAATACAGCCGTTCTATCGAGTTAAGAGGTATCATACTGCGTGGCCGATTGCTTTCTACGCCGTCTTCTGGTGTCTGATATCCTTGTATGACGTCATATGGTTTCAAAAGAACGTTGGGTTGTTCCAATCGGGAGTGTACGCAATGAGATCATTGGTGTTGAAGCCAGAGGTTGGGTATGCTGGTGTGAAAGGATTAAATCTGAGTGTAGGTGGAGATATTGTGGTGTTGTTTGGGCTTCCTTTTGTTGTTCCTGTGGCTGTTCTTACTGTGTCTACTATTATACAGGTGAGTGTCAGGGTATTACTTCAATTAAACCTTAGCATTTATTAGTTTGTTTATAAAATACTAAATTAGATAACCTCGTCGGAGGATTTATGATAAAGTTATAATTAACAATTTCAATCCGTTGAAATTATTGTGTCTAAAGAAATTTTCCCATCACAATGATTCCCAGATACATAAGCTGATAAACGTGAGGATGAACACAAGAAGAACCCTGAACAATACCGACAACACAGTACACAACCGAGCAGCAGTAACTATTACCATCCTATCTGCTATCTTCACCCTCTGTAATATTACTACAGTAGTGATATGGACCTGTGTGTACCATGATATTCTAAATCAGAACAGGACCAAGCAGGTCACGTGGTATCAACTGGCTCTTATCTACTTTTCAGGAACAACCATGTTCCAAGTTGCCTCCTTGCTGTCAGCGGTTGTTATAGTGCGGAGAGGTGGATCAAAGTTGAGTGAGTACTTTAGAGGTTTAGTAAGAACGTTGCATGGCGGGAGAAACTTCCCCACTAAGCCTTTTAAGTTGGTTGTTGGAGCCAAGTCTTAAAATACTTGAAATGATGATAATGTCTGATGAACATTCCGAAAACAGAAAATTATTGTGGGGTTCTACTTCTGTTAACAAGGGATTAGACACAAATCTCAAAAATACCTTGCTGGGGTTTTTCGTTGTGTTCAAGCCGAGAGAAATTGTTAGTTGGTTTAGCTGATGTTAACTCTGTCTTCAGTAGAGCTAGTGTTGTTTTCTTGTTCTGATGATTCTCTTCGATCTGTTTTTAACTTGTTTTAACTAACTTAATATTGATAACTATAACTATTTATAACTATAACTATATAAATTTAAGTTCAAGAGATTTAACAATTAAAAAAAATATGCAATATGAAAACTCAACACTGTAACAACTTACTGTATTTTGCCTTGCTTTGCTAGATTCTTTCAAGTTTCGAGTCATGTCTTGCAAACAACCAGTCTCACTTTCATTTTCGTCTGCTTCTTCATCCACCTCTTCATCACTGTCTTCCCCATCGTTGAGCAAGTTTTTGTTGTAAACTTTCATCTCTGGAAACTCCTAAAATACAGGGTTGGCCGATATTAATTGTTAGCTAGTACCCTCATCTGATATATAAAGTCATTATTCAGTCCAAGTTTTTCTATTTTAACATATAACAATAAAATTCCCCGGCCCTGATAAGTTCCACTTCCCCAGCTTCTCTGTTTTAAAAGGCGATACCATTTGTTAAAATAATGTTAATGCCAAAAACTTACCTCTAAAAATGAATCTTCGTCAAATTCATTACTTTCCATTAGTGGGTTATCCAACAGATTGAGGAAGGTGATGCTTGAAGGTAGCTGTTTTGAAGTGATGGTACCTGATTAAGGATTATTGTTATTTCGTTACTGAAACCTTCTCTACTTCTGAACAATAAAAAAGAACACAAATTCAAATAATCTCGCAGATCAAAATGACATCCATATTCTTGTTTGTATGTGTATTCTATCATGTAATCAAAATATGTCAACATGGTAGTGATTAAAATACAACATGAAACTCAACAGAAGGATTTCAACATACTTATCCTGTTTTCACTCAAATCCAGGCTCATCAGTTTAGACAAACACATCAAGCCTCCTCCAATATCAGATATTTTGTTTCCCTTCAAACTTAGATGCTGTAATGACG